TTCATCAAAACTTTCATGAAAAATTAAACAATTTAATGAAAAAAATTCATAAGATTAAACAATAAAATCGACGGATGAGGGTAACTTGCACAGTTTATACAAATTGGGTTAGTTTGCATTTGATCGCGTCTCTCTCTCTCTCTCTCTCTGTGTATATATATATATATATATATATATATATATATATTATATAGACTTGGGATCATGTGAGACCAAAGGTTTTTCATGAGACTCGTAAGACCAATTCTCAACCCATGTATTAGATCTACAATCTGAATATTCATAAACGCCACGAGACTTCTCAATAATCACAAAATTGCCACTGTACAACTTTAGACCATTAGATCATCAGCTTGTAAAGTTGATCAATGAACATAAATTGGTCTTACGGGTCTCACGAAATACCCTTAGTCTCATGTGAACCCAACCCTATACACACACACACGGAATTTCAAATACAAACCATGTAAATGATATTACCAATCTTAACCGTCCTTCATCTAGCTTAATAAATATTTGTTTCATAAATACTTTAGTTGATTGCTAACTTAAATCAACGATCATAACACATAAAAACAACCATTCTCCATAAATATCCCATTTGTTTTCTAATACAAAGGTTGGTACGATCTAAGTCTATATCTAAAACTATTTTTCACTTAAAATAATAATTAAATATTTCAAAACTTATTTTTTTATACATTTATTTTACTTTTTCAAATAAGTACATAATATTTTTATTTAAATAAAATAAAATAAAATAAAATGAACCATAAATGCAGAGGTGAAAACAACATAAACATAGGACACTGATATTAATTATACTTCGTTTATATGTTTCACTCAATTGCAGAAGAATATAAAGCAGTGCCCACAAAAAAAGTCATGGGGCATCTCCCATTAAATCAACTCCAATCCTATCATCAAAAATAACCCTAAATTGGCTTGCATTGCCACCTTAGAACTATAAAGTAGAAGATCTGGCTACTGATCCACCTCACTTCTTTCATTTATGAGAAAATATTATCAAACAAAAACTGTTTCGATTTATATAAACAGATTAATTTTAATAATCAACTTTATCATACATGACTTAATGGAAAATCAATCAAACAACCCTTTATTTTAGCTTAAACTCCACTCTTGATCTATGTGGTTTGCAAAAATAAAAATAAATGGTGCTTGGTTGGTTTGAGTTTGGCTCCAAAGGTCAAAAGTACCAGGATGTCACAGGTTCAAATCTAAGGAGGAATAAAAACCCCCTTGTGGCTACGGAGGTTCAAATGAGGTGATTCCGGTTATTTGCAAAGCAAGTGGTCGTCCTGGGATTAGTCGGCTCGCATAGCGGGTTGGATATCCAGGTTAATAATTAAAAAAAAAATCAAAGACCGTAATAAATCTAGAAATGATTATTGTGGCATATATTTTGTTTTAAAAATGGTCCATAAATTAGGCACCACTTGTTGAAACGGGCTGAAAATGGTCCAAAAGTGTTGGTTAGAGTGTTGTTAGTTGAGGGACGTTTTAGTCATTTTATTTTTTCATCAAAAAAAAGTTAATGTACAAGCATATGATTGACTTTGATTTCTCGCTTGGTTTTTGCCTTCGCTTCCGTTTCTTTGATTAAGTCGTGATTTGAAATTGTTCTCTTAAAAATCACCCCGACTGGATCCCCCGATGTGTTTCCTGAAGGAAAAAAATGGTAAAGGATGGGGAGGAGGGGATGAACGAAATCGAAGGGGAAACATTCAAGAAGTTTCATCTCAGGTTCTTTATTTCTGCCATGATTTCAAAAGAGCATCTCCAACAGATTACCTAAAATGGAGAAACAGTGATGTTAAGCGAAATTTGCTCCAACAGATTTTCTTTATTTTTTAAATCCCTGTATTTATTGGATTTAATTGAAATTCTAAAATTTAAGTTCCGAACTTTCCTTTATACCAAACACAGAGTTAAAATGGTATCCAATTCCAAATCTACCAAAATCCCGCAAACTAAATGGACCCTTAGTGTAATTTTATGCAATGAATTTTAAAAGGGTTAACTATGAGCATACTGATGAACAACATTTATGGAAAGCTTAATCAATCAGCTTGGGAGCATATTTGGGAATATATTCATTAAGACAGATTTATGTTGGTGAGACAATGTAACAGGTGCTGCATAGCAAAGTGAGAAGATTTTAGGTCCCGTGATATTTCATATGATATCTCAGTTGTTATGAAAGTAGACTGACAAATGCAAAAAGACGCTTTCAAACCCTTTAATTATGTTCATCCAACTTTACGTTCTTTGTTTTGTTAAGGGACGCCCCTTGGGAGTGGAGCATCTACGCACGTCCAGGGTCCAAAAATTTCTCTTAAAATACAATAGTAGTTTAAAATAATTTAATAAATTAAAGAAACCTAAAAAATTGTAGCATATAATAACAGGCAAAAAGAATTTAGTAGATAATAAAGACCCAAAAACATATCAACTAATTACATTGGAGAAGAAAATAAAAAAAATTTAATTGATCATTCATTATATGCTATTGTTTATTGCTTTAATTTTTTTTTATCTCTAACAAGGTTCAATGATATTGGTTATTGTTATCTCTATATGTTTGACTGTTTTTGTGTACAACAATTCAACGTTAAAATCATGTGCTTGTTATTGCTATATATTTTTGTTGAATATTTTTATCAATTTCTACTTCTATTGACTATTGTTATTTGGTTATGTTGTTTTAATTGTTTTTGTTGACTATTGTTATCCATTTTTGCTTTTGCATAGAATATTTTACTATTGTTTGACAATCAACCTATTGTTCTTATAATTTATGACGTGTTTTATAGTTTTGTGATTAATCAATAAATTTTTTCTACTAGATGTATTTAGTAATGTCTCTTATATTATATTCCATAAACTTTTAATCTTAACATCTTATTTTACTTGAGCAAAAACAGAAGAAAAATAGAATTTAAATATTTTCATCAATTGTTTTACTTATGTATCTTTCATTGAGATTCCGCGACACCACATGATTCTATTCAAGTGCTCAAACAATCATTTGGTGAGCTTGCATAGTATATGTTTGATTCATTATTTATTCTTATTATATCTCAACGAATCATCTTTTCTTTCATATTCTTATTGATCCTCATTTGTCTACTTGTCTAGAAAACCTTGATAATCTTCTTTATTATTGATCTCTCATTGACCCTCACGATTACTTAATTCACACGAATTCTCTTTTTGTATCAAAATAACACATATTTCTTTTATGAACTAAAAAAATTCTTACTTTTTATAAAAATTTATCAACCATAGTTTCTATATTCTTGGTTTGAAATTATCTAATAAGAAGTACGTAAATTTAAGTACTTTCTTATATATCTATAACTAGGTTTGGACCCGTGTATTACACGGGTTAATGACAAAAATTAAACGAAACTGATATGCATTTTATAAAGAATTAATAATCGGAGGTAGTTTATAAACTTAGACAAAAGTACAAGTCCGATTAAATTTTTGATATAAGATGCTCTTTAGGCGGGAAAAATCACTAACCGTCGCACAGAAACGTGACGCGTGTCCCCAAAGTTACTTATTTATTAGTATTATAGATATGCATGTATACAAATTAATTAACTTTATATTATTATTAATTAATAAGGTATTAATATTCTTTTAATAATTATATAAATTAATTAAATTCACATTATTATTAATTAATTAATTAAGTACACGTGTCCCCAAAGTTACTTATTTATTAGGTATATAGATGTTATAAATTAATTAACTTTATGTTATTATTAATTAATAAAGTATTAATATTCTTTTAATAATTATATAAATTAATTAAATTCACATTATTATTAATTAATTAAGTACTAAGAGTACATGTTCTTCTAATTTTTTTTCCCGGGTAATATTGTTTTGTGAAAAATGATTCAAAAATGCGAATTTGAAATTTTAAACCCGGTTTTGATGACCACTCTAGAGTTAAATTCAAACGTGAATTTTTCCAGAGTTATGTTGTAAGTCTGGGGGCCGTAAGTGAAAATTGTGTTTTAGGCCGGAAAAATCATTAACCATCTCATAGAAACGTGGCACGTGTCCTCAAAGTTACTTATTTATTAGTATTATAGATAAGGATAAATAAGATCTCTTTCATCAGTAAATTATTAGCATTGTACTCAATTTTATACTAATAAAAAACATTTATTGAAATTTTTTCATACTTACTAAGGGTCACTGTAAGAAAAGTGAGTTTTGACGATGCGCCTTTTAGCGAAGACATGTTTCCGCCACAAGTTACGGCAACGATATGTTTTTGTTATATACTTTTTCTGATGATATATGAACTTTTAGCGACGACAAAGACGTTGCTAAAAACCTTGTTTCTTGCAGTGAGCCATGTTTTTACGTTCGCCCTGAGCCCATAAAATGTCAGGAACGGGTCTGGTTATATCTTATATTAGAGTCAGAATACCTGTAATTAAACTGTTATTTTCTATTTTAAATGATATGTTTTCAATCTTGGCGACGAACTTCATGTGAAATTAAGCTTTTTGACGAAAAGGATCTGAAAAGTACATCATTTAAATAATCAACACGACTTTGTGTGTTTTATGTGATATTTTGTGTAGATATCTTCATTTTGTAAGCATGATAATACCAAGTAAGTGAACACCAAGTTACGTTACCTTATCGGATGAATATGATAAGAACCAAAATTCTTACCCGGTAAGAGCGAGACAAGAATCAAGAGTCTTACACGGTAAGTGAGGGTGATGACTCTTACCACGATAAGAGCTTACCAGGTCAATTGTTGCATATGATACCGTTTTGATGGACTAAAATCTTACCCGGTAAGTAAATGATAATGTTAAATTTTACCGACAAACGCTTACCGGGTAAGAGTTTGATAAACAACCTCTAACTCAAAGTCGTTAACGATCGTGTTCGAACTTGAACATTGATAATTTTTGTAATTATTATATATAATATGTTTTAATCATAATAATTACAATTGAAAAAAATATGTAAAGCTTATATACTTGCCAAGATACTTGATTTAAGGCAACTACAGGGGAAAACAAATTTTGTATGAGTATATTATATATATACTAGTATATTGCTGAATAGTATAAGCGAAGGTCGAAACTCTCCGGTTTCACAGTCGGACCGGTAACCCGTAATTGACGTACGTTCTAATCCGACCATCCAAACCCGCAGCGATGATCACGAGACCCCACGTATGCGGAGCAACGAACGTGCTCCGATACGCGCTTCTCAAAAACTTATACTCGGACTTGCGCATCGAGGGCGAAACGCAAACTTGAGTCGCATCTGGAAGCGTTTCTGCCGGATGTGTCGGAGGACTCCTCAACAAAAAACTGCGGTTTACGTTTAGTGATGGCATTCTGGGTGACTTTATCGTGCTTCTTGGAAGAGTGGTGTTGATGTTGGTTGATCTCGGGGACGGAAATGCCGCTGCTATGGTTTTGATGCCACGCCATGTTACGGCGACTGAAGTGTTTTCGGAGAAGAAACTCTCACACGATAAGTTGCTTTTGGCTTTTGTGTAGAGCTTATCGGAACTAATGTGGTTCCAGATGTATATATTCGAGTCGTCACCGGTTGACACGATGTGTTTTCCGTCTGCGGTGAAGGTTGCCGATAACTGGCTTCCCGAACTTCGGTTTCCTGTATGATAATACAAGTTTCCATAAGCAAAATGTCACAAGATTACCAAACCAAACCGAGTAAGGGGTTGTTTGATTGTTTTCCATTAAAGTCTTGTATGGATAAAGTTGTCTATGTATATTAATCTGTCTGTATAGATTGAGAAAGTTTTTGTTTAGAAGGGGTTTGGAAGGAACATATTTTTTAATTGGGAGGAACAGATTTGTAAAAAACTTGGCTTTCTGTATAAAGCTCTCCCCTAGAAGCTTACTGAATAAGCCACTTTCTATATCATTAAGCCACTACCAAGGAGTCATGTATAGTAGAACGAATAAGCTGTGAGTCACATTAAACCTATTAAGTAGCTAACAAACAGGCCCCGAGTATAGTATATCCCACAGATAAGAGGAGGTAATATGTATGTACCTTTAAATTTGCCAACAACATTGACTCCACAAAGAACTCTGACTTGTGAATCAGCAGATGAAACGATAACCTTCCTCGAGTCGGTAGGGCAGAACTGGAAACCGGAAATTGCATATGCTTATAAGAAAAACGTTACTGAAAGGAGTCTAATGACCTGTAAAACGAAACCTAATAGACGTTGTTGATACCTGAAATCCAGTTATTCGTCTTGGCCACTTCTTTTTACTCATCACACATATGTTGGTATCCAGGTGCAACCGTTTATCTGAAACAAATTCGAAACGTGGATACGCGAATTAGCACTTCAAATTATATCATCGAAGAACACTATGACATACTTCGGTTCTTTGCTATGTGCTTTGGGTGTTGTTTGGTATGCAAACAGGACTGGACGGGACAGTCAGACTGAGGTAGGGAGGTGAAAGAATTTCTACAAGGTTTTAGGGTTTTAATTTGACATGGGTAGTTTAGTAATTTACCAATTTTGTCTCATCTCCCTCATTTTTGTTCTACTTATTTTGGTGAAACAAAAAAAATACATTTTTGTCTCGTTCAATCATGTTCTATCCCGGTCCAAATGTTGCACCAAACGTGGGGAAACAAGTTTTTGTTCAGTATTTCCGGTTCTGATAACATGTTAGAATATAAATAGGGAAGAATGTATGCATACCTATGATATCATAGAAACTGCAGTTGCCATCTAGAGTTCCCACAATGCATCCCTGTAGCCAAGAAAGAACGGATCAATGCTAGTTGAAATCTAGATCCAAACGGTATTTTGATTCCGACATACGTTAAAGGAAACGAAAAGCAAAGATAAAAGACGAACCTTTCCGTTTGTATAATAACAGACAGCAGTCACGATTTCTCGGATATCAATCCAATCAACAACCTGACAACCGCGAACTTCCCAAATGCGTACTTTTCCGTCAATGGAGCCGCTAATGAAATGGTTTTCATCCATCGGATTGAATTCTACACACGTCACTGCAACAATAGTCGCATAGTAAGTTACTTGTAAATTACCTATATGCATGTGTGCATACTGTATTTGAAACTACTATTACATTATATATATAAAAACATGAATATGGCAGCAACTCACCGTAGTTGTTATGGGTAAAAACTTTGAGGCATTCATCGTGTCCGACTTTCCACATTCGAACAGTTTTATCAACGGATGACGATAGAAGATACTGTAACGTAGAATTCAAGAAATGAAGATGATAAGATTACGCAATTGAAGATCCAAACAAAGATCTAAAGTTCCATCATATTCACAGATATATTTTGATTTGTATCCATTCATTTGAAGATTTGGATAGTAGGAAAAGTTCATTTAAGAACCACACATAGTTTGATAACCGTAAGAATTAACCATTCATTAATTATTCATGATGAATATACACAAATATTCATCATTATTCATTATGAATATTAATAAATAGTTCGTTCTCACGATTAGTAATTGTTTTGTGCACACTGTGTTTGATAAAATGTCAGAAACAAGATACTAACCCCTTTTGTAGACCAAGCCAGGGACAAGATCTCGCCACCATGACCATGGAACTCATGCACAGGTTTCTCCAAGATCCTAAAGACTTTTGGTGGTAGAATAACACACGCCACTTCTGATGATTTCCTCATAATCTTTCGGGTTTTTTCTTTGTCCACTTTGATCGGAGCTAATTCAGAGAGATGGTTTGTTGAAAAGTAGCGTTTCGAAGGATCGTTTTCTTGAATCTCACAGTTTCTTGGATCATGATCCTGTTCGGAAATCTCCCAAATTCGCACAATACCATCATCACCGGCACTTGCCAAGTATCTGCCATCGTGACTAAACTTAAGTACGGAAATGGAGCCGTTATGTGCCGGAAAGTCTTGTGTGGTGTAAACGGATGATAATTCTTTGGATTTCTTTTTGTTTGCATGTACATGAACCGCACGAGTACAAGCAACATCATTTGAGTTAGATGATTCCGCTTGGTGATCCGTTGTTCGAGCCATAATGTGTAGCTTCTGAAGCCAACCCTTCTTCCCTTTCTTTCTCCTATCCAACAAACTACTGTTCTCGCTTTCTCTTCGCGATGATGAACGCTGAGAAGATGAACGGAATTTTGCCATAAACTCCGTTAACATATCTGTACTGAAGTCGAATGATTTCTTGATTGATCTATCTTCACTTGATTCATTCGGGTTTCGAGTATTGCCACCAAGATTCTCTTTTAAAGAACCAGATGATCCTAATTGGATAGCCATATTCGACCAACAAGATAACGAAGGCTGCCTAATCAAAAAACCATCTTCAAGATCCAAATTTTGTTGCGAAACAGGCTCGGGATTTTTTTCTGTTTCATCTAAATCTTGATAAAAACCATCGTTTTCGTGTTTGTTTTCTTCATCTCTTACGAGTCGTTTAGAACTCAAACCCATGGATCTCATAAACCGATTACGACGTTCATCGACACTATCAAGATTACCAACCCAAGAATCGTATCCAAACCCAGAAGTAGAACAATCATCGCATTCAGAACCTGAGTCAGACGATGAAACAAACACTTCGTGGGCATCCAAAAATTCATCTTCAGTTTCACTACAACAACCCATTTTCATTCCTCAAATCTTCACCCGTTCGAAGTCTAATCCCCAAAAACAATTGAAAAAACACGAAATCAATATAGATACTGAAAACCCTAAATACACAAAATCAAACTCTTTACAATACTGCTTTTGCAAAAGAACGATGAACAAAGAATCGGTTTTCTTATCAAACTAATCATCAAACTATGCGGTTATGATGATTAATTTGGGATTATTCAAATGAACAACATACTGAATTCGATAACAGAGTAAACCAAAATCGAACAACATCCCACAATCAATCAATATAATAACCGATAATTTCTGATAAAGCCATGAAACATGAACTGAGAAAAGTCTCGAGTTCTCACCTGGGTACTCATTAATCGTGGAGTCAACTACCAAAAGTATACCAAAATTGAAGATGTGATCACGTTTCAGTTCCACAAACAGTTTTCTCCCTTCTATGAAAGAAAGAAAGGAGGGAATTATATAAATATTTCGAAAGAGACAGCGTTTGACTTGATGAGAAACGTTCAAAACAAGTCGACTACGGAGAAAGAGCGTCGAATAAATGGGTCGGTCCGAAATTGGAATTCGGGTTTGGGTCTAGAATTGTCGTTACTTACGACCGTGATTGGAGGCAGCCACCATCGGCGAAGAGGACCCACCGTAAGGCGACCGTTCAACCAGCGATTAAAGAAATTGCCATGGATGTGCACGCAACTTTTCTTCAAGTTTGCCGTCCAATTTACCAACACACGTTTTAGTTTGAAAACTAACAAATTAAAACCCATAATTATTGTGTTTGAATGGTTTTTGATCGAGGGTTTGTTTGTTATTACTTTAAAAAGTTTAATAGAATTCAAAGTTTATTCGATCATCGGTATATGATTGTTTGGTAGTGATTTAATAATATTGAAAGTGACTTATTCAGTAAGTTTTTATGGGATAAAAAATAAGTTTTTTTCCAAACATGTCTTTCTCAATTAAAAAAAACATGTTCATTTCATCTATAAAAAAACCTTACAACTCTTTCAAACAAAAACTTTACCAATTTAATCCACATAAACAGGTTTATCCATACAGTACTTAATGAAAAACCAATTAAACAACTCTTATATGGATAAAGTTATTTATGTGGATTAATATGTTTGTATAAAAATGAGAAAGTTTTTGTTCACGAGGGTTTTTCGCAAATAGAAGAAGTGTGTTTTTAGGTGGGAGTGACATGTTTAGGAAAAAACTTGTCCTTTTACATAAAGCTCCCATTGAAAAAAAAAACTTATTGAATAAGTCATTTTCTGTATCATTAAATCATTACCAAACAGTCATTTATAGCTAACTGTATAAGCTAATAGTTTAATTAAGCTGTTAACAAATATGTCGTTTGTTGATTATGAGTTTTTAGAGAAATTTAATTTTTTTCTTAATGTTTCAACAATTATGTTAAAGAAGAGATAAACGACAAAAATCTTTAAATTTGGAGAAAACTTTTAAAAAAACGTGATTTTTGGTATTCTAATTGTGTAAATCAATGAAGTTGACTTTACTGTAACTTTTTATGAATGAACCGAGTTGATGAATTTATAAAATATTTTAATAATATATTTAATATTAAAATTATAATTATAATATAAATTCAATTTGAGGAAAATGATGATAGGAAATTAGGAATCACCAATTATTATTGGTTTTTGTCTTGCTTCATAAAAACCAAATTTCTTTTGTTTTTTATTTGTATTTTTTTTTCTTATTAAAATAGTATTTGGGATTTTGATTGAGAGAAAATTCTTAATATGACAAATTATTTTTATTTTAAAATGTAACACAAAAACCAAACGATATAAAAGTAATTAGGTGATATCTAACCATTATAATTATAATTAAATAATCAGTTATAACATAATATTAGAGATGGTTAAATGGGACTGGTCCAAGAACCGTTTAGAGATGGTTAAATGGGACTGGTCCAGGAACCGTTGGAAGACCGGGACCGACTAGGACTGGTTTGGGACAGTCTCTTATGGTTTTCATCCAAAAACAAGGTCCGGGCTGGGATCGGCCCGATTTTTTTCAAAAAAAAAATGTATTTTTATATGTATTTCTAGCTTTCTAAGTGTATTTGATTGAAAATCAAATTACAAGTTTACAATAAAATATATTTTTTTAAGTGTATTTGATAGAAAATTAATTATAATAAAACGTAATTTTTAAGTGTATTTGATTGAAAATCAAATTACAAATTTACAATGAAACATATTTTTTAAGTGTATTTGATAGAAAATTATAATAAAATGTAATTCTTTAGTGTATTTGATTGAAAACCAATTATAAAACTACAATAAAACATATTTTTTAAGTGTATTTGATTAACCAAATTAGATATTATAAAGTGTATTAGAATTACATTAAAGTATTTTTAAAAATTTATTAAAAAAAATTTTAAAAAAATTATAAAAAGAAAATGTTATTTTAATATAGGACCGGTTTGGGTTTGGCCCGGGACCGGACCTATTACGTAACCGGTTACAAATACCCTTAATTGGGACTTAGTATTTTTGGCAGGACCGGTCCGAATTGTTACTGTTTGGGTCCGGAACCGAGTTTTGGCCATCTCTACCAAGGGCGGATCTAGCCCTTAAGGACTGGGGGAAAGACCCTAGTCAAAGAACAAAAACGTTTGTTGACTAGTTTAAATTTTCTACTTTTACCCTTATTTTACATGGTTTCCTCCCAGTCCCATATGGCCATATGCTTGCCTCCCTCAAGTCTCATCCAACGTGCCCCACCCCATTAATTTTCTGGATCTGTCACTGATCAGTATATCTCTTTATATTGTGAACACACAATGAGTCATTTACGTTAGAATTGAGGATCTTGTTTTCAAGACAGCATATTCATGTTCAGTAACATTTCTAAGTTGTTCAGTAATATGATTTGAACCTTTATTTTTTAGTTAAGGAATATAGATATCGAAAATCTACTGATCAATATCTCGTATTGCAATACGAAGTCATGAATCCATTGGTATGCAACATGACAAAAATAATGTTTATTCATGATTGAAATACGTGAGTAAGATAACATTACTGCATGCCACTTGAGTTTGCTTTTCATTGATCTAACGGTTAAAGTCCCTTTACGACCAACGGAGATTTTCCCATCAGTTAGCTTCAAGGTAGTCAGAGGTGCGGACAAGTAGACCCAAACTGTTAAGTGGGATCTCGTACTCCTGCTCAACTTATTTTTCGTAAGTATGGTATTCCTAGAGTATGAAATATGCACCCGCTAAACTTTGAAAGGTGCTCCCAGATGTTAGAAAATATAAAGAACATCAACCAAAAAACCGAAAAATTGAATAAAACGAAAAGTCTAAATGCATTTTGAGGGGTTATTTCTTGGTTAATACATCTTTCTCGCTTCCACTCGTTTATCGATAACCAACTCGCTTTCATCATTCTCGTTCATATTCGTAGGCCCGTTTTTGCCTCCACAATTCCAAAATCCCCTGTCGAATGGCATGTTCTCCCATTTAATTTCAAAATAAAAAAGTTTCAAACATATTTAATTAATGAAAAATATTAAAAAATAGTGATTGAAGTCAAAGATGGTTAGTTGTGATTTTTCTTCATTTAATTTTTGTAATTGATATTTGATAGTGATATTTATAATTTTAGAAAAATAAAATCATAAAATTAAACTTTTTATACCATTTTTCTACAAACCACTTGTGTTTGTGTCGGTCTGTTGGTTAGGTCTTCGAAGATGTAGTGGAAAATATTATCTGCCCCAAATTTAAATTCAGGTTCTGCAAAACCTTTATAGGTTCACTTGCGATTATTTCAGGTCATTTGTAATCATCTGAATGATTAGTTGGTATGCATAAACTGGCTCGAACATCCACAGTTATAAAAAAAACTCACTTGAGGAAATTCCAATTTTACCCATTCTTTTTCTATAAATTTCCGAAATTGCCCTTGTACCAAAATTCCACAAAAATTAATTGTATTTGACCAATAACCCCAGCAATCTTTATTAAAGAATACTATAAAAAAACGTGAATTGAGTTTTGAAGCTTTATCCGACAAGTTTTTCAACAATTTGAATAAACATGCATAGTTTTCCAAAATCCAAACCAATACAAGTCGTTGACCAAATAAACACATGCATCCACCACCGTAATGTAATCTACGGGTGTGGAAAACCCGAAATATCTGAACCCGAATTCGAATCCGAACCGAAAATAAGGTATTTATGTAAAATTCGGATGTTTCGAAATTTGAAAAGCGACTTTTTGGGGAAAATTCAGGTTCGGGTTGGATTTGATTTTTGACCACCGGATTCATCCGAAAACCCGAAATATATATATACATATATATTTTAAATAATATATAAATATACTTATTTATCTAATTATCTCTTGAAAATTCTTAGTCGATCGTGTTTTTTTTTCTAATTTCTAAACATATTATCGATTTATCAATCCTCTAAATCGATTGAATTCATCGTCAAAATCGATTGGGTATATATTTTTTTTGCATTATAACTAAATCTGAACCCAACCAACCTCAACCCGAAACCCGACCAACCCTATCCCGAAGAAATCTGAAATCCGAAGGACATGAGACATGAGTATTCCTCTGAATCGGTTGAATTCGTGTGACATGAGACATGAGTCTTGGGTCGTGACAGCTATAATGACAAGCCTTCGAACACTGATTTTTATCAACGGTGTTGGTTAAAAACCGAAGGACTGTTTTCCCTTCAAATATATCTGATCTTTTAATTGTTGTGTATTGTATCATGATGTTCGTTTTCATTGGGCATCCTTAATTAACATCCTCAAGTCGATCGATGGATAGAGTCGAGAGTCTTCAATTAACGAAGGAGAGAAACCTGAGGAGTGAGGAGTTGATCGTTGAAGCAGTAGATGAGAAAGAATGTGCATCTAGGTTTTATCTTTCAATGAGGGTATTTTTGTCACTTTTTTAAAATCTTGGTTGAAATGGATTTCCATTTCATCTCTTTTACGAAGGAAAGATGAAAATCCATATTTGCAATCAATTCCATTCCATGGATAACCAAAGGTCGGAATGAAATTTGGTCAACAGAATTAACCATTTCAATTCTATCAGATTTCATCGATATCCGACGAACCAAACACCTCCTTATGGATGTTAATTCTTCTGGATTGCAAGTCACTTTCTACATTTATGAAAGGTCACTTTCTTCATTGTTTAGGGTGCGTTTGGTATGCAGACTACATGAGACAGGACGAGACAAAAAAAATAGTCTCATGTTTGACATGCCATGAACAAAAAAAAACATGGGACAAGGTGAGACTATTTTTAATTTTCATGGGACAAATCTTGATATTTTTTGTTCCACCAAAAAATGTAGAATAACATGGGACTAAAGTTAAAATGACAATATCACCCTTGTTATTTCATTCCAATAGAAAACCTAATTCATCCCATTTATGACAAGTCCTTTCGAGTGTAAAAGTTCTCTTTTATACACCTTTCCATAGCTGCTCTCCACAACGATATTTTCATGACTAAAATTATTGGTGGCCTCTTTTGTATCTTTCAATGGGATTCTGTAGTCATCCCATTCTTGGAGGATCAACATGAAGTTTCAATTTATCAGATAAGTTTGAGAGAGGAAAAAAAGGATTAATTGCAAGTACAAACTAAAAGAATAAATCGTGGTTGCAAATGACGAAAGTGATTGGTGGGTTGAATAACATGTCAAAATGGGTAATATTTAAGTGCGATTGCCGGGTTGGCTCGTCAACACCTTTTTGTCATTTTTTTGGATATATATTTAGTGTATTAAACTTGATTGCAAAAGCTATGTAATTAAAATATATTTTGGTTGATTTGTTGTCATTTTAGAATCATTATATGATATAAAATAATATTGAACAACATTTAGGATAACATGGTCATTTTAATAGTTTTTTTATATCATGTCCTAGTCGTACCAAACATAGGACAGACAATTAGTCTTGTCCCGTCCCATCCTGTTCCATCCCGTCTCGTCTTGTCCCATCCCATACAGTCTACATACCAAACACTACCTTAGGGTGTTTTAGTACATTTGACAGGAACAAAATAGGGATCACTATTCCATATTTGATAGGATTTTTATGTTAAAGAAAAAGAATAAAGTCTCATGAATAAAGTCTCATAGACTTTTGCTTTTCTGTCTATTTAAAATTGTAGTCATGATAAAATCTTGATTTATTTAATTATCGGGGACTCTCAAACACACAAGGAACAGACGTATTTAACCCCCATTCCACGAAACAAGGTGAAACAGACCTATATTTTACCAATATAACATCAATATAAAGCATAATTCTCTTCTAAAACATCAAAGATGCCTCCCTTTCTATATTTTGTTCATTCTTTAAATTTTATTTATCATATTTTATGTTATTTGAACTTTATTACTGTACTCAAAATATTATTTTTATACAGTTTTTATATTATGGTTAATTTATGTAATTTATTAAATATTAATAGTAATAACATAATATAGAAAACGTATAATAATTTGTGTAATCTATTAAATATTTTTCTATCATTTTAATCGTCTGATTAAAACTTTCTAATAATATATTTTGTTATAAGAATATATATTTTATTATAATTTAATAAATTACATGAATCAATCAAAATATATAAGAGATATAAACAGCTCATTAGAGATAAATTGGTCATTTTCTTTGTTCTACCATATTCAGTTTTGTCTTATCAAATGTTGTCTTATTCTATTGTGTCTGTCAAGATATCAAACGCACCATTGCGGTTTTCTTGCTATACTTTTAAATCCGTAAAATCGTTTATCGATTCTTCTTCAATAATAAATCTTAGGAAGTTAATTGCAAAGTAATCAAGAACAATGTAAACTTAGATGGCAAAAGGGTCGGAAATATCAGGTATCCTCATCCGATTTCCCAGTCTCCATCCCCTTCTCTGTCCCCACTAAGAAATTGGGGTTTTTCCTATATGTACAAAAACCTTTTATATAATATCTTTAGTTTCCTGTTTAAATTCGGGCTAACATATCCGTTAAGCATGTGTTCACGTGGACTTCAAATGAGAACGTGTCTTTTCTTTCTTAGACAAAAACCAACATCTAATGCCATGAACAAGTAGGGGTCAACACGGGTTGGATTAACCGATTTGAAAGCATTTAAACCACTTGATCCAATATTTATTGTTTGAGAAACGTAACTCAAACCAACGCACACCATGCAGGTTATGTTGGTCAGGTTTCGAAGTCCAAAGTATTCATGTCGTTATCCCTTGAATAGACACATACACACACACACACAGAGATATACACACAATGTTTTCGTTTATAGAACGTTAATATATGTTATCAAGTCATTTTGTCAGGTGCATAACCCATGGTTTTCTTGTTTTCTTATTTGGATGTTCAAGGATTTTTAGAATTTCCAACAAAGTTCTTAGAGGTCTTGACTTTCTACTAGTATGCGGGTTGATCCGGTTGCGCTGGCCACTTTAACATTGTGTTCTCGGGGTTTTCTTACAAAGGAAAGTAGGGGGGAAGAAAAGAAAACGACGTTTTCTTGAGTTTTTTTAAGCAGGGAAATGAAGGGAAAGGAAAAGGAAGAAAAATAATGTTGATTTTCCTCCCAAACTTTCCTTCCAAATATGGAAGGAAAAAAGAAGGAAAGGAAATAAAAGAGAAAATAATTTTTATAAATATTTATAAAATTACACATCTACCCTACCCATCAATTACAACCCACTGGAAAGTAAATAACTGTATATTTATAAAAACATCTTTCATTTCCTTTCTCTCCTGCAAGAACATGAAAAATATTTTTTTTCCATTCCTTTCTTTTCTTTTCTTCTCAAATTTGAGAACACAATGTAAAGGCATTTATACATCTCAACTCGATGTTTATGATTTGGGTAGTTCAGGTTTTTGTGTACCCCTATCTACGTTATCTATGGTAAACCAACCCATGCATTTATCTTTCCCAAAAGCAAATAAAACCCGAGTTGTAACTGCACAAACAAAAAAAGTGAAAGCCACAAGGGTTGTGACGTAATGATTAAGACCCTGAACGATGTGGTAGAATATCCCATCTATCCAGGAATCGATTCCAGACACACGCAACAAATATAACCACCGAGATTATTAGGAGTTTAGGACTGATTTCTATGTTGGGTCTTAGAGCCAGTAAAGTGCAGTACAAGCGAATGGAGTGGAATCTATTTCTTGCGGTCAAAATTTGTTAGAATTAGTCCATGTCAGGGGCCTTTTTATAATCTTATACGACAAAAACTCTTATTTTAGTTGTAATGGACATTCAGGATTCACGAACGTTTCACCGAGATCTTTGGCACTCACAGGCCACAATACGAAAACTTACGAGCAAAGTCTAATTCAGGAACATTTCACTAAGATCGTTGGCGACGATAATACAAACACAAAAAGCCAAACGAAATCGACCCAGTGGACCTTATCTACTAAAACCAAACCACGATACGATCATATGCTTTCTTCATTCGCTCACTACCTACATAATAGGTGTGTCATATATCCACAAAATATACACATAAAACTGCAACTTTCGCCTATAACCCCAAACGCATGCTTTTCCAGCCCATCGGTAGCTCGATTTAGTTAACTTGGGGATCCTGTTGATTGAAATTGGCTGAAAAATTAATACTCACTTTCTTCGGCTATAATAGTATCCGCCACCAGTATGATGTGGATACCGATGGCGGGACCCAGACCTGCCGCCATGCCCTTCCCATGAGTGGCCTCGGTAGACGACTCTGCCGCCACCACTTTGACTCCAGCCAACCGGAAGATTTCCCATTGCGTTAAGCTCCTCCTCTTCTCGATCGTTGTATTCCAACACCAGCCGTTTTATGTCTTGTTTCTCTTCCAATTCTGCTGCTTCCTTCTGTTTCGTGCTCTGCACCAGAGAGCAGTCGCTCGGTATCAGCATCTGTTTCGTTTGCTGTTTGCTCCCTCGTTTTACGAGAACTTTGACCTGGACTTCTTTGCGTCCTCCAGATTCATAATCTATTGCCTCATCGCCACTTTCTCCTTCGCTCACCCTTCCGTGATGATCCCCCCTTGTTGACCCCTCGAAGATGTTCATTGGAATCATCATGTTTAGTGTTGGCCGCGCTCGCAACTCCAGCTTCCGTGAATCTAAGCTTTCCTGTGTAGATATACGAGGTGATTGATATGTTGACAAACAAAATAGAACTTCTACCGGAAACTTAGTTATGTGGTGAGGCATTCGTTTTTAATCAACTTCAACCTTGTTCGAATTCTGTTTAAGATCTCGATGAATAATTCGGTAGAAAGACTAAGAGGCCGTTTACCTACACACTTACCCAGTAAGCACTTACCAGTAAGAATCAAGACTCACTTATCTTACCAGGTAAGACTCTAGTCCATAAAAACAGCATTGTATGTAACAATTTACCCGGCAAGTGCTAACCGGATAAGAGTCGTCACCCTCACTCTCTGGGTAAGACTCTCGGTCCTTGCCATCGCTCTTATCGGGTAAGATCCACGGTCACTATCATGCAGTAAGGTAAGTGATCAGATAACTACTTATCGGATAAGAGTTTGGTAAACGGCCCCTAAATCAAGCTAATGTTACCGTTCATCATTCTTACTCCAACTATGGGCAAATAAGGCATAAAAGTAATCCCTCTATTCAACAAGCCATACAGTAATGACTTTTGCGATCAAAGTGAACATTAATATTGACTTTTTGACGATTTCTAACTTCGACCATGGTAGTATCTAGGATATACTCCCTTTCTCCCAAAATAAATGTACCCAATGAAAAAGAAAGTTCTAGAAATGTTTAGTTATTACACTTTTTAATTAACCAAATGACAATTTTACCTTTGGTAATAGATGGAGTAATAAACTTCTCCATCTCATGATTAAGGGTAGAAATGGAAAGTAGGCACTTGCTTTTAAAACGGACAATTATTTTTGCCCCATTATGAAGGGACTTGCTGTATATATAAATGAACCAGTTGAAAGTCGATTCTCAGAACAAATAGTGACTGTGAGCCAGGATATGTAAAGGACTCCAATAGAATAAATAAAGTCCAGCACCGTACCTGCATTAGAGCCCTAAATTCTCGGTCGAATTCGGCTTCTTCCTCAGGGTCCACTAGCATCACTTTCTGCCTAACATGGATTTCGTCATCCTCGTCAGAAACTGGACCATCCCTTTCAGCATAATCATCATCGCTGTCACAAGCGTCATCATCAAGCTCTTCCTCATCATCATTCCCGTCTGGATCCATTGTGCTACCCTGTGATGCACTGTCGGATTCACCATTACCTTCTTCATGGGTCCCACCATTTTCTTCGATACCATTTGCAAGAGCCTGACGATTCACCGAGGAGCTTCCAGATGCCGATATGGTAGTAGGTTTTTCCTGCTCGACATGCTTCTCGCCATTGGCTTTGTCAGTTAAAACCGTGTGTTCATGCTCCTCAAGCTGAACTAGAGCAGCATCAACTTCTTCAATGGTTGAGTAACGAGTCATGTTGGGGCGTAGATCAGCAAATAAGTCCTGTAAATGCGTGAATCATTTATTAAGTACAACGATCCAAGGTGAAACCCAACACCTAAGTTCCTTTTTGGTGCTTTTGGTACGCAAACAGACTGGATGGGTGCGGGTGAGGTAAGAGGGTGAAAGAAATGTGGAAGGTTTTAGGGTTTTAATTTGACGTTGATAGTTCTATATTTAACAATCTTATCAAATCTCCCAAATTTTTGTTCCACCTATTTTGGTGGGACAAAAAAGACACATTTTTGTCCACTCCGTTGTGTCTTGTACCAGTCTAATATTGCACTAAACATGGAGCAACTAGTTTTTGTTCTGCTTTATCCCCGTGATATGCCCTATACCAAACGCGCCCTTTAAGTGGCTTCAGATTTAAATAGAACATGGCAATATATTTAAATTATGACATTCCAATTGTAAGTTAGATGTAATCTGAGAGACTAACCTGCAGGTCAAATTCAATATCTAGAGGCAATGCACCTTTGCTTAGTATGTATCGTTGGAAATGAATCAAAAACCGATCCAGTTTCCTCTTTGATGAGCCTCGACCAAAGTAGTGCCCACAAGTCTCAAGAAGTGTGATGATCATCCTAATGCGAAAGCAGTCTTCTGGTGGATCAAGCACATCTTGCTAGAGGAGGAACAAAAAAACAGAAGTGATCAGAAAATGATAAATCCATCAATACGTTCAGGCCTGAACCCGATCCTTGACGGTGGTAGGAAATGGTATCAAGCTAAATGTACTGTATGACCATATGTGCGTTTTAAGTTTAGTATGGTCTCAACTTGGTGTTTTATGTCAAAAAAAGGGGAAGACAAGCTAAAAGAAATTAAAAAAACCATGTAACAGCTTAAAAGCCAGTAACCACATATAAAAAGATAAACTTGTACCTCTTCTGTCCCATGACCAAAAACGAGAATCAGATATAATGTATCAAAAACAACCGAGGAATCCACATATTCATAATTGTACAGCTCGCCTAAGAACCGCATATGAGCGATTCGACGTTGCTGCATTCCATATTCGTTTAACTCCAGTCCTAGCCGGATTTCCTCCAAAACCTGGAAAAAACAATTATGTGACTCAAAAACACAATATTGCCGATGGATTGCACAGAAAAAATGAAATCACAAGTATAAAAAGGAGCGATGAACCATATAACACCCTGCAATTATTAATAGTAAAAGAACAAAGGGGAAAAGGATATGCCTCTATCGTGATGAGTACCAAAAATTAGGCAATATAGTGGCAAACCCAACTTAGGGTCTGTTTGGTAGCAGCTTAATGAGATTCACAGCTTATTCGATCAGATATATGGAACTGTTTGGTAATGTCTTAATGATATAGAAAGTGGCTTATTCAGTAAGCTTCTAAAGGGAGCTTTATGCAGAAAGCCAACTTTTTTTAAACCTGCCCATCCCAATTAAAAAACACGCTCCTTTCATCCACGAAAAAAACCTTCCAAACAAAAATCTTTCCAGTCTATACAGACAGATTAATCCACACAGACATCTTTATCCATACAGAACTTCATGGAAAACCAACCAAACACCCCCCTTAGACCAACATACTCATACATGCATCTTACCCAAACTGCAGCTGGCCAGTGAAAAAGGCAAGCTTTCATGTAAGCAAGGTTCTGAGATTATATTGGTTAAAATAGAATTTAGAGATAGGTCTTGTAAGTGAGCCAACTGCAAACAAAGGGGCAACAAACATGACTTGGGCGCTTAATGCCTATGAGACAATATCCAACCCAAACCAAGATCGCATTTCCCCCAAAATATCCATAAACAAGTCACTACTACTACAACTGCTAAAGTGCTAATAGTAATCAACATTAATAATAATAAACAACCTCGTCAACTACAGCAACGGCAAACTCATCATGGTAGCGACTCAATCCAGCAGTCAGTGAAGCAATCAAGTGAATTTGACCATACTTTCCTTTGTGAACCTTCAAAAAGCACTTTAACAGATAGGGTTCGCATTCACTCCATGGTAGCTTACGAAGTTGTCTCAACACGTGCTCAATTGAAGACTTATCAAGGTCTGAGAAAAGTAGCTTTCTGATATACTGCAGAAGTTATCAGATGAGGAGTGAAGCAAACAGCAATGTCTTAAAAAACATGAAGTCACAGATCTTTAAAATAAATTATACCTGATGCAAGGGAGGACGAACTTTAGAGACTCGTGCAGATCGTTCAGGTGGTTTGCACAAGTAATAAGCATTCTCGACAAGAGTACTGTGCCGAGGATCCAAATTCTTGACATTTTTTAGGCGCATCAGGATCTCTAACATGTTTGCCATGCGTACATTAGTGTCAGGGTACCGGTAGAGATATCTGCCACATGTCTCCAGAAGATTGCAAGCAACATCTATGTTATGATGAGTAAAGTCATCCAAACATGCCTGTCAAAGAAAACAACAGAAACTTGAATCAGCAGAAGGTATAGTTGATCTGGCACTCGCAACCAGAATCGGGCCATCTTTCTGGTTTCAATGGATAGCAGGTGCTGATTGCAACTTGTACTCAAGTTCATAAGAGGGCAAGTTTGAACAAAAAAAAGTGTCAGTTTATAGTAGTTACAAAACATTAAGCAGAAATCACTGAATGCTAATCTTAAATAGAAACTTTGTGTTTTTCTATAATCCCAAATGTCCATAAATGTCGGAAATGAATATCATGGCATGCAACGGTAAGAAGCTAACAAGTAGTATGAAAATGGACTTTTACCTTTAGACAACTGAAAATAAGGCCAGCTGGTGCAATCTTGAATTTGCAGAGCTCTCCAATAAATCGAATATTCCTGATCTTAGTCTCGATATTCATTTGATCCTGTCATATATTAATAATGATAAGCAATTGATAAACCTACAGCTATGTTAGAGAAGTGCACTCTAAGCAAAAAATAAAACCTTCTTATTGATCAGGAAGTTGAACTCTTCCTCTAACAACTGCAACAGCATAGAAGGCACATCCTTCATACAAGTTGATAGTGTGGCAACCATGCGTGAATAGTACGGTAGCAGTTCCAGAGATGTCCTAGGGACATTAAAAAGAGCCCGAACAAGCTTTTTGCGGGAAGATTTTGAATTTAGATAACAAAACTCCACCTGAAATAATGCAAACAAACACCTTAAAAATGCAAGTGGGGAGATCTTTAAGAGAAAATTATCCACAAAGATACACAAGGAGACTAGAGATTTTACAGTCAACTGATCAATTAAGTCGCGGCTCACACAGCCAGGAAGCCTCTGCAATAAACCATCCAAGTTGGTTCCTTCAGGACCTCGAAGCTTCTCCTTCTCAATTTCACCTTTTGTTTCGCCATCTTTCTCTTTCTCTTTCCCTTTATCTTTGTCTGACTCCTTCATACTTCCTTTATCTTGTTCATCCTCATCCTTCCTTTTCTCATTTTTGCGCTCCGGTAAAACCCCAGCATCCACAGAAGTCTCTCCAGTGTCATGAGAAGCCACGTGACCTTGGTCGGGCTCAGGTGCTGAATCCTGCATAATAGATTTTGATGTCAATTGATGCACACAGAAGTGTAAGATTGAAACCTTCATTAACAGCTTCTGATGTCAAGTGTGAAAAAACTTTGTTAAGGTGCAATGAAATTTCAAAGTGTCAGATTAACAAGCTTTTGGGCTTATATGCCTTCAGACATGGGAAGAATTTACGATATTGCACGTTCAAATATAGAGTCACGTTTCAAGACATAACGGTTAATATTACATAAGTAACACGTTGGCGTTAAGTTCCAAATAAGAGTAGCTGTTACAGATAGCATATACCATTGGTAATTTGACTGTGAGTCCCAATATGGTCTCAATATCTTCAGTCTGGAACTTACTAAGTGGTTAATTTGCTAGACTCTACCAACCCCATGCCCCAGTTAGTTTGTCATGTTAAGCCCTAAAACTGGAACAAAAAAAGGGGCTGTTTGGTTTATGTTGGGGAATAAAAAAGGGAATGAAAATAAAAATGACAGAGAATGGAAATGGGAATGATTTTTCATTCCCCCCAGTTTAATCTGGATTAAAAATATGGGCTTATGGGGGGAATGAACCCATTATATTATATAAAATCAAAGAGTTTCTTTTATTATCATTCACATTGATTATTGCTTAATACCTCTAACCAAACATCCCCCAAGTGTTTGAACTTCATTTGCATGCACTAGAAGCAATGAAGATCAGACACCAAACTATCTTTCCACAATGAATGAACTTGGAACTTGAATGAAATTTTCACTGTACACAATTCCAGAACTCCTATATAGTTGAATTTAAGTATTCACAGTTGATGAATGAACATAGTTCTTCAATGCTCTGAGAGTATAGGCCAAAAAACAGCAAAGAAATGTCATTCTATTCTCAGCTAACCTAGAACGAAGTCAACAGATCTGTTAAATTACTTACTGTTTGTTGATCTTGTGCTTTTGATGATTGATCACTCACTTTCTGCTCCGCTTCTCCCAATAATACAGCAGGGACAAATGCCCTGAAAATACAAGATCATAATACATCCTCCTGAGGACCAACATATATAGCAACAAACTGAGCAATATTAGCACAGAAAATGTTTTCCTCACTATTAAAGGCCTACACATTTCAAGGACGATTCAAGTTGGACATATTCATTCAACACCCAGCATACAGGACACGTTGCATTTTAGAAATGAACAATAATTGCATATCCCCTCTAATGAGACAAACCTCAAATCAGGTAAACCCTCATAAAAGCTTTTAGTATCTTCATCATCCCACAGTGCTTCAGCAACAGAAGCCTCTTTTCCAGTACCAGGAGATGATATATCATCACCTGTCGTGAGCCTTGTGTGACCATCCTCTGGCATCACAGGTGGTTGCATATCGAGGGCTTCTGCTAAACTATCACACCAAAATTTGAAAGAATCAGATATATAAGTAGAAACTCTTTAAAAGCAAAAAAGTAGATATAAAATAGAATGTAAATATTTTCCCTTTTACTTATCAGACCTGCCATATAAAAAGATGAAAAGGGTGAAGCATAAAGCATATCTAAGCATGCATTGGAACACACACACCAACAAAAAAAGGCTTATGTCTGCTAACTCAATTAGCAAGCTATGCACCAACACAGTCAGTCACAAGACTCAAGCCAGCATCATACCAGAATGTCTAAGATCCAAAACAACAAGGACTTACGCAGAGATGCCTCGATACAGCTGGTCATAAGACTTCCGTAGTTTTTCATATGAAGAAGCATTTTCCTCACTGAGCTCACCTTTGGCATTTAAAATCTTTGCATTCTCGTGCTCCAATTGACGGAGGGACTTCAATTTTCGAAGTTGGGGCAGCACAAACGGACAGAAAAAGAACCATTTAGGTAAACTGTGCAAATATGCATAATCTAGAAAACATCAAGTAGAAGTTAAATGATCCCCCACTGCTTCCAAGTAGCAAAGCTTACAGAGTGTTCAGATCGAAGTAATTCAACTGCGGCATCATGATACGTATGAAATGCCTTTTTGAAGACCTTCTTCTGGTCAGCAGTGATATTAAGCCCCTTAAAAAACTGCAATCATGGTTCAGTTAAGTGTCAAAAATACAGGTAGTAGAATTACACATATCATCCACAGGTAAACAGCCATAAAATGCCAGGGAAAGAAAATAATAGATATAAACATGATCATTAGTTGAAGAATATTAGATAGATAACTCTTCTTCCGATTTATAGATGATATCAACATTCTTATTTCATAAAACGATGTTGCAAATGCCCATAATCAGTATTAGAACCAAATGTCTCAAGTGAAGTTGTTGCCATGATGCTAAACCACAATGATGGCAGAACCAAATAACTCATCGACTTAAGCACATTGTATGTGAGACTAAGGACCATCACGAAAGGGATAGAAGCTTATGCACCTCTTCAACAAGTTCTTCACCAGGATGCGGAAGACCTATGAAGTACCTTGCTTGTCGAGCAAAACTAGCAAGAAGAGACAAATTTGTATGAGCTGCATCTCTATCTTTGAGGTGCTCTAAGCTGGCAAGATCCTTAATGATGGTAATAAAAATGCCAGTATCTTCTATAACACCATCAAAGAACAGTTCCAGCAGAAGTTTTAAAGCGCTGCGCTTCTTCATGGCCTTCAAGTTCCGGTCTGCATCTACATCCTCTACGGATTTCCCAGGAAAGAAGGTTTTCATGAGGCCTTGGACCAATGTTGGAGAAAAATCTTTGTATCTTTGATGAAGCAGCGAACAGACCTGATTTACAGAAAAATAAATAAAAATCAAGCTTGTGACGTACAAGGTTTCTAACATACTAAAAGGCAGGTAACCATAATACTATAGGTACTGGAAGCCTCAGTACTATTCTGCTCCAAAACTCAACTGAATGGCAAAACAAGGTAAACAAAAGCATACAAACCAACTTCCTAACCCATAATACAACATACTGCACTAGAAACCTCTGCTTAAAATGATAAACAGTTGATGAAAACAAAGGCTTGACTACTCTCATCTGACAGAATTACTGATTCATCCATCAGGATTTTGCTGGCTAGTTATTTGTATTCAAGCATTATTGGCAAACATCAGAGCAATGCCATATTCATGAGTTCCCCTTAGAAGTTCTCATCATCTGGCTAGCCCCGTAGCCACCTAAAAACTTCTAACAGAAAATGTTTGATCAAGACCTCATGGCGTTCTGGTTTATACACAACACAAGTGTGCTTTTTTCACACAAACAGACGAAAAGACTTGATAAATGGATCCATCACCATCATACATGTCTTTAATGTAATATGACTAAATATCAACTTAAAAATTTTGAATTCCTCTAAGCATTGAGCTACAAATTACCTCTCATAATTAATATATCAGAATCTTACACTTTAATAAGATCATCTGTTTCTGTCTTTTTCATATTTTTTTTCTATTTAAGACCTATTGTCACATGCTTTTCAGTTTAAATCTTTTGAAATCAAAGAGGCACAGTAGTTCCACTAGTGATAACCAGCTAACCGCTATGAAATGTTTGGATATAAGACGAAGCTAATCAGTATGCATGCTTTAAGTGGGTTTGGGAACAGAAAGATAGAAGCTAATAAAGACCATAATAAGAAGTGGAAATTAACCAAGAAAATATCAAGTAAAAAAGCAAATACTAATAAGCATTAGTGTGTGTGAGTATAAGAGAATATTGCATTTATATATTAACCCAGACATGAGTTACAAAGATCCAATGTTGCAACTTGTGACTAACTGGCTACCACACTAGTCTTTTGCAACAGAAGTTCAGCATAGGATTGGACTATGAGCCATTTTCCATATTGATATGGGTCCATGTGTAACTAAACACCATGTAAATTATTATCAGATGGCCAACAGCAGGAACTAAGCATTTCATATAAAGAAAACTACCTGAACTGCAGCCTGTATGTCTGAACTTTTTAACTTGGCATCACAAATTGCAGCCACTGCTTCACTAACAAACTTACTTAAGTTGACACTTCTTAATTCATCCATCAAACTTTCACGCTGCTCTTCATTAATCTGCTTAAGCTTTTTAATGACTGCTGTATTACGCTTAATGCTGGAGTCCAATGTTCGCAGAGCACTAGAGTCTGGTGCAAAAAGTTGAAAGATTTAATAATCAGTTATAGAAGCTCCAGAGGTGGTGATTACCAGGTAAATCATCTCAAACTCAAACTCCTCTGCAAGTTGACAAATCATTTTCTATATTTAAAAAGGTACCAATTTGTCAATCTCATAAAACTTTGGCCAGTTACATGTATGTAATTTCACTTTGATGAAGAAGTCTAAGAGGACAAGAATTATTGAGCACGAAAAAATTGATTATCTTAAATGCAAGTAACCGAAACCCTCCATGAATTATTGGAGTAAACAAAACAGACTGCCCTTTGATTATGCAAGAAGGGAAAAGTCAAAAGTTGGCTGGTATAACTCAAATCCGTGACTAAAGATTCCAGTGACTTAGCTGCTGTAAATGATTAGCAGATAGTATTGCCAATTGCACTTATTCTAGCAAGTAATTCATGTACTCATGTTTCAAGTGCTGGTATTTGGGTTTCCAACTGCCATTTAATGTGAAATGAACCTTGCAAGACTACTAACCAGGCCTTTCGGGATTTAAATTACTCTGACGAAGAGCTAGTTTTGCTTCTAAGGACTTCTTTAATTCTTCACGACGAGATACCTGCAACAAGAAATAAAGAGTTCACATGTGGACTCGTTGACTTGTCTACTTCAAAAAACATAGAACAACATGATCCATTTCATCACATATTGTCTAAGACATGTGCGATCAAGTGCATCCCAAACACATAACAGGCAACTACTCTCCAGCTGCTGGTTCAGTAGGTAAAGAACAATAAGAAGGCAACCAAATAGGTTGTACCTCATCATCTTGCTTGCCCTGGCTTTCACCAACACCATGTGAATCATCATCAACTTGTTCCATCTCCTTATAACTTGTAACACTATCACAAACTGCAACCTGTTAAGAAGAATCATGTTTTCTAAGCAAATCGACGAGAAGAAAATATGTAAATTTCCAAGTGTTACAAAGAGATGGTCTCCAAGCCATCACGAATAAACAACTAATATGAGATTGACAGTTTGATACCAGTATTGAATAATATTTTAGTTCGAGCAATTAAAACTCCTTGTACATCCTATTCCAATTCTCGTGGTTCTCTTTCCCTGTCCACAAGTGATAGCAAACCTATATTTGGTTGAAGGTATCCCACAATTCAAAGAAGTCCTGGAACAACTGAATTCTAAAGCCCCGGGACCAACTACTCAAAGGCATCGACAAAGACAATCAGCAATCACAGTCTGAAGAGCAAGGTCATCATGAAGACCTTGGCTGAATGCTCCAGAGACATTCAGAAGCATCATCATGAAAGACATAACTAGTAACTAAACCTCATTTGAAAACGCTAATTATCATTCATGCGTATACTACCATCTTATCATTCATCAACCATAGTTGCTCGATAATAAACGTGTACCATCTTATCATACATCGCCAGTGTTATACAATTTCCACAAATCAAACTCCAATTAATCAAAAATCTGAAGATAATAAACATAAAATTAACATACTGAAAGAAGAAATGTACCTGTAAGAAACCCTAAATTTGGGAGAATCGCTCGACTGAGCTGTAAAACCTGAATGAAGATGGTATGTCAAAAGAGAGGGAAAACCCTAGAGAAGAGGATGGTATCAGTGGCGAAATGAAATTTGATCGAAGGACCATTCGTTTAAGGAATCTGCCTAAGTGCAGGGAGGGCATACCTTTTCAATGGTTGTACGATCACTGAATTCGTAACTTACGTTGAGAGGGTATTGTGTAAATACAACAAAGTTAAGGTCCTCATTTTGATCATTTAGCGAAAGTTAACCCAAATGTATATTTATATCTATATCTATATCTATAGAACCTTATAAACCAGATTTATCAAAAGTATTAAAAACAATTTTTAATATACATGGTACTAAACATTTATGCACAGAGTCTTAAAAACAACTCATAATGCATTAAGTACTACTACTTTATGCATTAAGTCTTAAAAATCTCTTAATCTAAAATTAAAATAACATATAGTACAAGTTACCAATGCACATTGCTATCTTTTCTTTTCATGTTCCAAAGATACTTTTGACACATTTCACTCATACATTCACCCTCTCATACCTCTATGTCTTCTCCTCATCCCTCAATGTGAGATTCAAACCGATATTCACCATTAGTTATTAAAAGTTATCTCATTCATCTCTCGTTCAATTATTCTAAAACTCTCGGTCTTGCTCTCGATCTCTTGGTTCTTTGCTCTTGGTGTTAATCGATCACATTTGTTGAGTCGTTTAAATATGTTAGATTTTAAATATATTGGATTTTAAACTGTCGTAAAAAAATTTCATCAATAGACTGTAATTGGAACCATAATTCTTATTTATTCAAATTGTATTAATATGTAAAGACCAAGTAWAACTTATATCATCGTTAAATCTTCTCTAATAAAACCAGTGAAACTTCAAAATCGTTAAAATTCACGGCTCCCGCCGCATTGCATGGATACACAGTCGCATCAAAATCATTGATTGTGTGTTTGTTATAATGATTAGATATTTTTAAAATAATAATGTGATATATTAAATAAATAAAATGTAAAAGTGTTATTTCTTGTATAAACTATCTTATAAATGAAAATTTGTATGTTTCATAACTAACGATAAAAGACTTCAATTCGTATACCAGATGAATCCTCCCTTAGAAATGAGGTATTTCAGAAGTGATGCAACGATTGAGACTGATGGAGGGGTTCAAGTTCGTCTGCACTGGATTCGAACTTGAACTTATTGTATATTTGAGTAAAGTCAGTATGTCTCTTTACCTAATGAGCTACATGCTCGAGGGAGAATGCGGCCCTAACTTAATAAGGAATGATGATCGGAAGCTTCGAAACTACAAGGAGAGAAAAGAGACTTTTTAGAAGATCATTTACTTCAGTTAGGGGTTGTTTGACAATTGCTGAATGATTTGGTGCAGAATGATTAAGAGACCCTCATGATATAGTGCAAAATGAAATATAATTGTTTAGTAATTGTGTACAATAAAATTAGGGCTCTTAATGGTTAAGGGAGATCTATGATACAAAATCATTCAGATGGTTTTAGAACCATTATGAGACAAATTTTTTTCTGCCAAACAAGATTAACCTCTTAACGATTCAGATGTTGTCTCTTGATTGAACTATTAAGAGGTAAACAAACAACCCTTAGATGCTTTTTTTTTTCTTTCTATTACAACTTAATTGCAATTCTAATATGATATTAAAGATATTTTTGAGATTGCTGATGATTTGTCTGATGGATTTGAAGAAGGCAAATGACGGGTTTATAAGATCAACTTAGAAGAAAAATAAAATGATTTTGGGAGCTAGTTATATTTGTTGACATAGAAATATCAAAATTAATGACTTTTAATTATATAAAAAAATAAAATATCTTATGACTTTTAATTATATAAAAAAATAAAATATCTTATGACTTTTCAGATGAATTTCCAAGATCAAAGATTTGAATCATTCGATCACCTTTTGATTAGGGAGCTAACGTATGTCGGGAAATAAAGACAGTTGAGAAAAAAAAAAACCTAATTGTTTGATACTCTTTAGCAGTTTCGTTTGCGATACGAGACTGGTTTGGTACACCAATTTAATTCATAAGTGCAATTAATATATTGTACAAAAGTATATATGATTTTGGATACTCATGGCCTGTTTGTTTACCTCTTAATAGTTTCATTAAGAGGACGCATCTGAATCGCTAAGAGGTAAATCTTGTTTGGCGAAAAAATAGTCCGTCTCTTAATGGTACTAAAACCATCTGAATGGTTTTGTATATTTGGCCTCCCTAACCCGTTAAGACCCCTAATTTCATTTTGAACAATTACCAAACAACCATATTTCATTTTGCAATATATCATAAGATCCTCTTAATCATTCCGACCACTTTATCATCATGCACCAAACCATTCAGTAACTGTAAAACAGCCCTCTTAATACAGCTTTTGTGAATAAAGACAAAATATGTTAATTGATCGTAACTTTAACCTTCCAAAAAAGTATCAAACCTTGATCTACCATGCAACGACGGTGCCAAAAGATAACAAACTTAAGCTCTAACCTACAACCAAGGTGTTTTGAACTCATGTTTTCAAAATAATTATCATGGTTTAAATAATTTTAATCAAAATTAAATAATCGGTTGATTAAAGTCAAATATGGTTAAACAATTTTAAATGATTCTCGATGGTAAATTTACTTGCAACAACATTTTTGTCATGTTATTTTAGATCAACCATATATAATTAAAAAATAAAATTCAGAATTAATTTATCAAGCCTCTGAAATAACTATCAAGTCAGGTTCGTTGATGACAATTACACTGCATTATACCAAGTACTTTATTGATCGTTTTTGCTAACGAATTCTAGGTCATCGAGAAGCGCATATCTGGCGTTTGGTTCATAAGATTTTGACAGAATGTAAGATAATTAGAATGATAAATTTCATTTACCTGATTCCATCGGGTTTTTTTATTTGCAAAAATATTGGGAATATAATTTTATTTGAATGAGCAATTTCTTTAGACTAGGAAATTAGTCATTTTATTAGTTTTATGAAGAAAAAAAATTATGTCCTTTCATTCATTCACAACTCTATGTAAAAACAAAAATACATTATTATAAATTATTAAAATTTTAATAGTTTTACAGATATTTATATTCATTTCAAATTAAGAAATTACAAAAAATAGCATTAAAAATATAATTTTATTTATCACTGATTTACATTTCAAAAAAGTTATATTGCATGAATCAAACAAAAAATTCAAAGAAATAAACTGAATCACATTTTATTTTTTGTCAACCAAACACATGATAAAACCAGTTTTTTATGTTATGGGTTGCCATATAAATTTAGAGAAAGCAACACAACACATAACAAAACTTCCATATAACTTTAAAACTTTTACAAGAACAAATAATATTCGGTAAAGTCTATATACTTTTAACTGCTGTGAATGATTAAGTGGTCAGAATGATTAAGAGACTTTCATGATATAATATAAAACGGAATATAATTATTTGATAATTGTTTATAATGAAATTAGAACGCTGAATGGTTAAGAAAGACCCAAGATACAAAATCATTCAGAGGGTTTTGGAACCATTAAGCAACAACATTTTTTTTTGCCAAACAAGATTCACCTCTTAACGGTTCAGATATTGTCTTTTAATGAAATTATTCAGAAGTAAACAAACAAACCCTTACTTTATTGACCCTACCTCCATCTCCATGTGACATTTACCGTGTCTGTTTTGGCCCTAATATACATAATGCGGGAATCCAAGGTGCGTTTGGTGCACACAGAACCAGATGAGAGTGAGACAAGTAGTTGAAAGAATTGTAAAAGGTACCAAGGTTTTAATTTGACATAGCTAGCTTAATAATACCTATCTTTGCATAGTTTCTTGATTTTTGTTCGACCTAAAAGACTGCATTTTTGTCCTACTCAATCCTATCTTGTTTACCGTTCAAATGTCAATCTGGGCATCAGGTAACAAGATCAAGTTCATCAGGACATGGAGGAACAACATCTAACCTCATCATACTCCTATATTCAGCTGGAACCGGCGCACCTGCTTGCACACACAGCTCGACAACAGCAGGAGCCTTACCGTAATACCTCTTCAGACCATTAGACAACAGAGAGCCCGACGGGTCAGCAACATGCCACACGTAGTTGGGTCCAACCAGATCAAAGATCGTCGCTTCTTGCCATGCATGCATACCGTTACGAGACTGGTGTTTCGACGCCTTACACATCCGAACTTTGTGCCCCTTCGGACCAACCTGAACCTCGGGACAATATCCGCAAGTATGCACTTTGTATCTCTCCATCATCTTCTTGGCCCCAGATATCATCTCGAACCATGAATCTAGGGTCATGGTGGCTAGTTCACTTGGAGTCGAACTGCTATTCGCTAAATCGAGATTCGGTTGCATCTCGGTGGTCAAAGAAACATCTAAACTAGAATCAGTTACCTCCCCCTCCTCCCCCATGATGATTTTGGGACTGGTGCAGTGGGGGCACTCCTGAGAGTCACACGTACCCTTTTGTAAACTAGAATCAGTTACGTCCCCCATGATGACCTTGGGACTACTGCAGTGGGGGCGCTCTAGAGGGTGGCATGTACCCTTTTGTAAACTAGAATCAGTTACCTCTCCCATGATGACCTTGGGACTACTGCAGTGGGGGCGCTCTAGAGGGTGGTGCATACCATTTTGTAAACTAGAATCATCGGCTACCTCCCCCATGATGACTGTGGGACCAATGCAATGGGGGCGCTCCGGAGGGTGGCACAAACCCTTTTTTAAACTAGAATCAGTTTTGGTATCCTCAGAAGCTACCAATTTATTTGTTTCTATCTTTTTCATCGGGTCTAACTCAAAATCCACTATTCTACCTTCTATGCTATATACGGGTCGTGTTCTTCTCTTTGTAGGGTAGTTTTCAAGATTCAATCCTGCCTGTATGCAGAGCTCTACAATGGCCGGAAGTTGTTTAACTGCACGGCTCTCATTATGTATGATTCTTGGCTTTCCAACACGGTCATAAAGATGGAAGCATTTGGGAAAATAAATTACGTCATGTACCCTTCCTCTTCGCCACACATGTGTAGCATTTCGAAGGCCGCTTTTTGGACCGGTACATGTCCTGATCTCATGCCCTACTGGACCAATATGAACCTCAAAGCAATGCCTGAAAACCAACATACCATAATATAAGAGTATCACAACATTGCTTATAATTGATGCATGATGAAATTTGTGATCTTTTTGGGACATGAATGTTTCACATACGCAAACTATAAGATTATGATACGTTATTAACAAATTACGCTCCTTTTAATGCTGGTTCATAGAGCATGATTAAGACCACACCAAACCAAACAAACTCAGTATATCTCATCCAGAGGTTCAGCACGTCCCACCAAGATTCGGGGTCTATGGAGGGCATGATATATGCACACAGCACACCTAACATCTACGTCAAAAAAAGATATCCCACCAAAAGGCGGGGCCTATGGAAGGTATGATATACGCACACCTGACGTCTACCCCAAAAAGTAGAGTGGCTGTTTCCATGAACCCCGGCGCTAGTGAAAAGGGTGTGAGAGAGAGAGTTAGCCCAAAAAGTTAGAGAAAATATAAAAAGAAGGAAAACTTCGAAAAGGAACTTGACACAAGAAAGACGGATACGATAAAATCTGAAAAACGTTAATAGAACATGATTCTTATTGGATTACTTTGCTACTGAATTTTGTGAATTGATCTGCAAATTTCAGAACTGATTCATGGGGACTGAAATGTGAAAATTTGTATTGGTTTATACCTGCATCGAAGAACTGGAATGGCCTTTACAAGCTTTGATAAACCGAGCAACACTGATTCTCTAGCTCGATAAACTTGATGCGCTACACCAACCAGTTCAGGAACAAGTAAGCCGTTTCCCGGAGGTTCTTCTAACAATTTACAAGGTTGTGCCTTTCTTGCCTCTCTCTCTTGCTTGGCTCTTCGAACCAGAATTTTCATAGGCGTTAGGTAGGGTTTTCTTTCTGACTTGCTCTTAGCGGGTTTCGGTATGTCTGCATACAAATGATCACCGTTGGCATCTGGCTCTTTGGTTGTCTCTACTGTTAGGGTTCTTGAGGGACCTAAACGGTGGGTTGGATTTATTTGGAGTTTCTTTAGATAATTAAAAGGAACGATGATGGTAGATGATAGATATCTTCGGTGCATCGAGTAACTTGATAATGGAGCTATAAACGAAATCAGCAAGGGTGTATTGTTACTAATGGTCTTGCGCGGCGATTGATAACTGAAATCTATGGCATATTTGGGTGTTAAAAAGCTCGTGAGGGAAGGATATTAGGAGAAGAAATTCTTCATGACGAGATACCTGCAACAACAAAATAAGCAGAGTTTACGTGTCAGCTTAGTTGGCTAGTATACTTGAATAAAAACATAGAAACACATCTTATCTAAGAGATGTATGATCAAGTACTCCCTCCGTCGCAAAAAAGTGACCACACTCCATATTTCTATTTTAGTTTGTCATTAAACTAGTATCCACTTCAAAGGTAAGTGCTTACTTTCCAATTCTACCCTTGAAGATAGATAAATTCATTACTCCCTTTATTATGAAAGGAAAATTGCCATTTAATTAATAAAAAAGTGTAATCATTACAAATTTCTAAAACTGGGTGCCTTTTTCATTGTGGATATTTATTTTGGGATGGAGGAAGAGGCGTATCTGAAGTAAGCGCTGTTTGAAGTAAGAGATCTGTCTAGAGTAAGCAATGTCTGAAAACATCTGCTTATCAAGTGTTCTGAATTTAGCAATGACCGACAAAAGTGCGTTAAGGCTACCACCTTCTTGTCTATTTACGAATATCTCATGTAAACAAGATTCAATAAACATTTTCGTCACATTTTCTTTTTTCTAGTTAGGTTTCTTGGGTTGTAAAGATTCGCCAAAATTTTCTATGCCTAGAAAGATTAAGCAACATATCATGAATTTTAAACATTTGCAAGACATATGTTATGCAATATGTCCATGAAATAACAAACATCATCAACAAGCCTTTTATGCAATAAAAAGTTTTTTTCTGCAAACAGTTGCAACTAAATGATATGAAATACATTGTTTGACTTTCACTCCATACTCAACTATGACCTGATCAAACCAAAACAAAAAGAAATCACATTTTCCGTTTTAATCAAGTACTCTTGATGTCAACGATATTAGAGAGATCATTCAAGTTTTAAGGTTAAATCCTTTTGAAATTCAAATACAAAATGAATTTTCAACACATTTAACCAATGCCACATATACAAAATTTCCAAAACGAAACAATTGTAATAGTCAAGTTATGGGCAGGTCTAAATGCAAAGCATGGTAGGGCTCAGAGATTCATCACCATTCTTTGACAGAAATATAAAAACGGAAAACCTAGGGAGGATTATAGTATATTGATTCAAGGGGAGGAGCACACGATATACCAGCCCCTACTACACGAACACATCAAGTGACAGTTGACAGGATCAAATGCACATACATTGGAGATGTTTTTGGGCAGCAAAATGGCTGTTATTCACAAACAACAATATTTTTGGCAAGCAATCCAGGAAGAAATCCGAGCAGGAACTAGAAACAGAATCATCAAATTACAATACAGATATCTCTGCTGATCTAGGGGATTTTTTTCTGGTACAAACACAGTTGAGAGTGGGGAATCTGTTCTCTGCTAAGAGGGAGCAATTCCGTCCATTGTAATAGATGCTTGATCCTTATGTTGGTCATTTCTTACTAGTTTCACATTACATCAAATACTATAAGCTTCATTCTAAAGATTCCAGTGACTTAGCTGCTGTAAATGATTAGCATATAGTATTGCCAATTGCACTTATTCTAGCAAGTAATTTATGTATTCATGTTCAAGTGCTGGTATTTGGGTTTCCAACTGCCATTTAATGTGAAATGAATCTTGCAAGACTACTAACCAGGCCTTTCGGGATTTAAATTACTCTAACGAAGAGTCAGTTTTGCTTCTGAGGACTTCTTCAATTCTTCGCGACGGGGATACCTGCAACAAGAAATAAAGAGTTCACATGTAGACTCGTTGACTTGTATACTTCAGAAAACATAGAACAACATGATCCATTTCATCACACGTTGTCTAAGAAATGTGCGATCAAGTGCATCCTAAACACATAACAGGCAACTACTCTCCAGCTGCTGTTTCAATAGGTAAAGAACAATAAGAAGGCAACCAAATAGGTTGTACCTCATCATCTTGGGTGCCCTGGCTTTCACAAACACCATGTGAATCATCATCAACGTGTTCCATCTCCTTATAACTTTTAACACTATAACAAACTGCAACCTATGAAGAAGAATCCTGTTTTCTAAGCAAATCGACCGACGGGAAGAAAATAAGTAAATTTCCAAGTGTTACAAAGAGATGGTCTCCAAGCCATCACGAATAAACAACTAATATGAGATTGACAGCTTGATACCAGTATGGAGTAACATTTTAGTTCAAGCAATTAAAACACCTTGTACATCCTATTCCAATTCTCGTGGTTCTCTTTCCCTGTCCACAAGTGACATCAAACCTAGATTTGGTTGAAGGTATCCCACAATTCAAAAAAGTCCTGGAACAACTGAATTCTATAGTCCTGGGACCAACTACTCTATCAGCGACAACTACTCCAAGGCAGCGACAAAGACAATCAGCAATCACAGTCTGAAGAGCAAGGTCATCATGAAGACCTTGGCTGAATGCTCCAGAGACATTCAGAACCATCATCATGTAAGAGATAACTAGTAACTAAACCTCATTTGAAAACGCTAATTATCATGCATGCGTATGCTACCATCTTATCATTCATCAACCATAGTTGCTCGAATATAAACGTGTACCATCTTATCATACATCGCCAATGTTATATAATTTCCACAAATCAAACTCCAATTAATCAAAAATCTGAAGATTATAAAGTTAACATACTGAAAGAAGAAATGTACCTTTAAGAAACCCTAAATTTGGGAGAATCGCACGACTGAGCTGTAAAACCTGAAAGAAGCTGGTATGCCAAGAGAGGGAAAACCCTAGAGAAGAGGATGATATCAATGGCGAAATGAAATTTGATCGAAGGACCATTCGTTTAAGAAATCTGCATAAGTACAGGGAGGGCATACCTTTTTCAATGGTATATGGATTTACTGAACTCGTATATCGATTTATACTTACTTGAGGGGGTATTGTGTAAATACAACAATCGCCATGAGACAACAAACATCATGATAAACTTCCGTTTTGAAAAGTCTATCCTCCTAATATTTCGTGTGGTTTTTTGTCCTAACGGGTAGGGGTGTTCATGGATTGGGTTAATTGGATTGAAGATATTTAAATAACTCAATCTAATATTTATGGTTGAAAAAATCTTGATCCAACCCAACACAGACTAAAGTGCAACCCAACCCAACTCAACTCATATGTGTTGGTCAGGTTGATACTTTGGTACATTAAAATATCTTTCTAACATTGAATATGTTATTTATCGACCCATAATTATTTTTTCATCATTAACAATTTGATACAACTTATCCATACTTCTTATGTATATCACATTCAGTTAATTTTCACAATTTACATATATATGTTCACAGTTACTGAATATATATACGAATGAATTATATAGAGGTGTGAATAGATTGAAAATATGTGTATATCAAGAGCATACATGATAGTGTAATTGTCTAATGTATATATTAATAAAAATTCAATATTAATATTAAATCCAATAAATAAAAGGACATCGGGTTCATCAAGTTGAGTTGGGTTCAAATAATAGTAACCCATTATCTACGGTTTGACAATTTTACAACTCGGTTAGACATTGAGTGGCTTTGGGTTGAGTTGAGTTATTTCGCATTGAGTTGGTTGGGTTTTTGAGCATCCCTAATAACAGGCCTAATTTATATTAGTATATTTTCTTCTAATGTTTTTAACTAATCAAGTTTGAAATGACCTTAAACACAAGTTGAACCTTCTCGTGATCCCGGATAACTGGACTGACATCGTTAAAAACTTTCAGCAAAGCTACCAAAGACAAGACTATCTGGTCTATTATTCGCAGATTGGTGCTTGCTATGACAGTCTACCATGTTTGACAAGAAAAATAATAATCGTATCTTCAAAAATAAGAGAATATCTTATGACATAGTGCTCAAGACCATCTCTGATTATGTTCAGTCTAGGCTGCTTAGTCTAACCCTAAAGCCTTCATCGAACATTGTCCAGACAAAACTTGTTTGGAACATTCCGTAGTGGTTGGTCCTTCTCTTATTTCATTTCCTCTTTCCACCTCCTTTGCTCTTTCTAGTGGTTGCTTCAGCTTAGCTTCCTCCCAACTACCGACCTTTGTTTTATCTTTTCTGTTTTTATTTAAAAGAAAATTGTCATATTAATAAAAAAAATTGATTGGAGAGGTCTCCCCCTCTATATATGAAAATCAATCACAATCACAAGAGTGGTGTCTGATTGGTTTGAGCTTGCCTCCAAAGATTAAAAGTACCAGGAGGTCTCAGGTTCAAATCTAAGAAGTAATAAAAATCCCTTTGTGACCATAGAGGTTCAAATGCGGTGACTCCGACCTATCTGCAAAGCAGATTGGATATTCAGATTAATAAAAAAAAAACTCTAATCATATTGTTCATATTTGAAATTGCCTATGACTATGTAACTCGGCGATGACGGGGGTGAGGGTAATTGGATTATCGGATTAAGAGGCCCACATTTTTGGGCCAAATGAGTAAAGGTGAGCCCATCATAAAAGAGGCCCAAAACAAAAGTGGGCCCCAAATGCATAGTTGACAACTTGACATTGACAATGACATGGAAAAGCAGCGAGGAAGATGGAGGCAATCACGTGACGTCATATCAATGGAGTGGACGGCGTTTGAATAATTCAGATGGATGGGTGCGTATATGATGGTGTTGGGGCCCCACCCACTTAACCACCACAATCATACATTCCTTGTGGCAAACGTCCTTTTCTTTAAAACATTCCCCCTTTTTTTCGTTTTTTTTTTGGTAGTTTTATGAATAAAAAAAAGGAATAATGGAATTTGAATTTTTGTATTTATTATTATATACTTTGTAATATTGATTTTTGTTATATTAAAAATATATTTTAAGGGCTGTTTGGCAATTGCTGAATAATTTGGTGTAGAATGATTAAGTGGTCAGAATAATTAAGAGACTCTCATGATATAGTGCAAAATAAAATATAATTGTTTGGTAATTATGTGTAATGAAATTAGGGCTCTTAATGGTTAAGGGAAATCCATTATACAAAATCATTTAGAGGGTTTTAGAACCATTAAGAGGCAGACTTTTTTTTATCAAACAAAATTCACCTCTTAACGATTCAGAGATTGCCTCTTAGTATCATAAGAAATGATTAGCAGACAAAAGAGAATGTTTTAATACCTTTTTAACACACACACACACACACACACACACATATATATACACACACACACACATACACATATATCTATATATATATATATAGTGTATACAGATAGAAATTAAACTTCAATTGTTCACCTGATTTTGCAAGACACTTGTCTCCGTTCATCATAAATAATCGACTTAAATTTTTCATGATATTCATGATAAATCACTGTAAAAAAAAAAAGAGACTTCGTCGATGGATTTATCTGCCCATAGTGTCCGGTAAATTTATGGCGGATCACCAGTAGATTGATTATCACTGGTTTGGTGATTGAAAATCACCCGATAATCTGTATAAGAAAAGAAAGGCTTGATGATTATTCTATTAACACAATGGAGGCTATTTATACATACATTTACAACTCATTGAGAGATAAACAAATCAACCTAATTGAAACTAATTAATAAAAGATATTGAGAAGATAATTATAAACAAAAGAAATATACAACATTAATATAAATGATCAAAATCAAGAATTGTTATCATTGATTGATGTGTACATATCTTTATCACGCCCCCACAAGATGGACGTCCGTTTGGAAAGTCCAATCTTGGCAAGTAGTGCATTGAAACGTGCGTTCGATAATGGTTTCGTGAGAGCATCTGCTAACTGGTCGTCACTGGGGATATGTGGAACTTAAATAGTGCCGAGATGGACTTGTTCACAAACAAAATAAAAGGCCAATGCAAGATGTTTTCATACGGGAATGAAAAACAGGATTGGGAGAGTAGTGAGTGGCACCAAGATTATCACATTTATATATTAATTATAAAAAAGGTAGCAAAAATACTGGAGTTCTTGGTGTTATTTGAGATATAAGGTAGCACCTGGAAGGTCAGAGTTCAAGCATCGAATCAGGCAGCAAACCACACTGGTAGCCATTGGCCTGGTGTGTCTTATATTAAGTACAGTTGTCTGTATCTGACTATCAGTATTTGTATAGTTTTAGATTACCTTACATGCACATGTAAGTTTCATGTTCTTTTAATGAAATGTGTATCCAATAATATATTTAGCAAGGATCATTATATGTTGTATGTATTCAGTACTTAAGAAAGAAGTTAGGTAGACAAATGCAAGGGAAACATTTAGACATGCTAGACTCAGTGTTGTTTTATATCTGTCAGTTGCTTCAGATATGTTCATGGTTGTTTAATATTGGATGTTTTGTTTCATTTTGAATTATGTTTTGTTAAACATAGTTGCTGTCCAAGTCATTTCAGTTCAATTATTGTAAGACTTTCGCTGCATAATGTTTAAGTTTGAGGTGTTTCTCAAGTTGATCATTAGTAATTTGAGATGAATATGATGTACCTTCATGGTAAAATGAGGATGTTTTTTTTTATTAACCTGGATATCCAACCCGCTATGCGAGCCGACTAATCCCAGGGCGACCACCTGCTTTGCAGATAGTCCAGAGTCACCGTATTTGAACCTTCATGGCCATAAGAGGATTTTTATTTTTCATTGGATTTGAACTTGAGATCTCCTGTAACTTTTGACCTTTGGAGACAAGCTCAAATCAATCAGGCACCACCCTTCTGGGTAAGATGTTATGATTAAGAATCTTAAAAATCAGGGAAAATAAAAATAGAAGCTTAATTGACGAAACTTGGGGCAAACCATCCAATACAGTTTATCTTGATGCATGATCCCGAGACCTTTCTGTAGGTTGGTCCTATGCCATCGTAACTTTTTTTTTTTCCGAATAAAAAGTTATGGGCATTTTTACTTGTTTGTCATGTTCCCACTGTTTTACAAATGCCTCCGCAATTGTTCTATGCTGACTTGAAGCAGATAAACATACTAAATATTTATGAACCCGATAAGTCTACTGGATTCAAGCGCACCCGTGATAGTAATGACCATCTATGACTCGTTACTATTTTTATTGTTTATGTCAATGCTATATTTTTTATAATTAAAAAGTAATATTTCATTTTTAATTCATCTTCTGGTTGGAAGGAAAACGAGAGTGGGTGAAAAATAGACATTCAACCTTTCTAGTTAAGTCGGTGGGCATGCATGTTTTTCACACACACATATATTAAATCACGTGATGACGGTGAGTGTTAGAGAAATGAAGAGAGATGGAGGGTTACTGTTTGAAAGAAGAAAATAATTCAGAAGAAATGAAGAGAGATGGAGGGTTACTGTTTGAAAGAAGAAAATAATTCAGATGTGTCTTTTTAAATAATTTATATACTTGTATAATAAAAATAAAACAGGTAAAATGACCAGAATATCCTCACCTAAACGTTGCTTGTAAAGGCTGTTATGACCAACAAAGTCGATTGATGTAAGCAACTTTAAACGATGGACGCCTTACTGTAATTTTGAAACTGAAATGGCAATTATCAGCGTTTGCATAAACCACCTGAATGATTTATGTAATTTACTCTTCATTTTATTTTTATGTTCTTATTGAAAAATTAAGTGAGCCCTTCTTAATTGTGTCTCCCTATCACCAAAATAAAATACACTTTCAACATTTATTAAATATCGTATTTTGAGCTTGACTCCAAAGGTCAAATGTACCAGGAGGTCCCAGACTCAAATCCAAGTAGGAATAAAAACCCCTTGTGGCCACGAATGTTCAAATGCGGTGACTTAGGGCTATCTATAAAACAGGTGGTTGCCTTGAGATTAGTCGGCTCGCATAGCGAGTTGGATATCCAGGTTAATCGGAAAAAAAATATCGTATTTTTTTATCCAATATCTGTTTTTAGAAAATTTTTAAATCTTCGATTTTATAAAGTAGACATGGACCTAACCGAACCTTACATTAATTTTCTTATGCGATGATTGCCTTTTTGGCTTAACTTACAATTCTCCTAAAGCTTTTGAAAAACCTTAGGCCACTTTTATATTAGAGCTTTCAAACCTAACACGTCAACCAGTCGATTGCTCTGCCTAAAACACTGTACGATATCATCAACGTTTTTGTTAATTATAGATATAGTTTAATAGGAAATGTTGGCAATGCTTTAGAGCATATGCCATTCTCGTTTAGAATATTAATTTCTAAAATAAACTAAATCACCCTAAGCAAATCCAGTATATATCTTATCTGGTAGTAGCGTTTGCAGGATAAGATACATATAGTACATCTTTCATCCATCTTAAGAGGTAGAAAGATTGTTTCCTGAAAAACCTCTTGCCGAAAATATTTGGGAACGTTAGCTAAAAGCACCAAAAGGCATATGGACCAACGGTGCCCGAGTTACTGATGGAGTTAGGTCTTACATGAGGTAAATAGTTCAGTTTAAACCTCACCAAAGGTGATCAAAAGTATATGCCGTACACTATAACAAAATCGGTTTATAATACACCGAAAAATGTCTAATTGTAACCACAAGGGTGGTGCCTGATTGGTTTGAGCTTGACTCCAAAGGTCAAAAGTATCTGAAGGTCCCATGTTCAAATCCAAAGAGGAATAAAAATCCTCTTGTGGCTATGGAGGTTCAAATGCGGGACTCCGAGCTATTTACAAAGCAAGTGGTCGTCTTGAGATTAGTCGGCTCGTATAGCAGGTTGGATATCCAGATTAATAAAAAAAAGTCTAAGTGTCATAATAGATCGCTTTATATGAGTTTGAATTATAGGAGCAAACAATTATGCATCTTATGTAAATTTATAGGACATTTTTGGATATTTTAACAAAAAAATTAGAACACTGTTAAAATAAAGTGTAGTATTAATTTTCTTACGGCACACTTTTGAGAAAACAATATTATAAAACAATTAAAATAATGTCATAAAAGAAGAACGTTTATAAAAATGTTCTAAAAATTTGTTAAGATGTCCCAAAACGTTATGATAAACGTATTATAATGCTTTTACATATGAAATTATTTAGTCTTATAAACTTATATTCTATAAAGCAATGTATTAGGGCACTTGTACATTTTTCGACGTCTTATAAAACCGATTTTGTTGTAATGACATAACAAATCAAAATTTTGCAAAAAGAACACATTTACAAAATTCAGGAAGCAAAAAGTCTGAAGCAGCCAATTTTGTAAGGCACGAAGACAAGCTGAATAAGAACAGTGATAGAAACCGTTAAACCAACAAGACCTACTAAAAACCACACGAAACACTTCAAAGTCCCCTGCCCCCGACACTCAACCCTTATATTCATTTATTAAAAATTGTTTCTTATATACACTTTTATTTATTTAGGGGTTGTTTGTTTACCTTTTAATAGTTTTATTAAGAGGCAACATCTGAATCGTTAAGAGATGAATCTTGTTTGGCAAAAAAAAGTCTACCTCTTAATAGTTCTAAAACCCTCTGAATGATTTTGTATCCTAGATCTCCCTTAACCATTAAGAGCTCTAATTTCATTGTACACAATTACTAAACAATTATATATCATTTTGCACTATATCATGAGAGCCTCTTAATCATTCTACACCAAACCATTCAACAATTGCGAAACAGTCCCTTACTATTTCATTACTGATTTTACTCATCAACATTGTTAGGATTTTAGGGTTTCTTGACTTTTTTTTTCTTAGTTCTTTTTCATATTTAACACATGAAGTATGGTTGATTGGTTGCGTTTTACTAGCCTTTTATGTTATATTTGAATTTAATTCAACGGTTCTATTAATTCATAGCCACAAACAACATAAACCAGTTAAATCAGATCACATTTTTGTGGTATGCTTTGACTGTTTTGGTCACTTCATACATGCTAAATCGAACGACTGGAAAATTTTCCAAAGCACCACCTGCAATCTGGTCAGTTAAAATGCGGTTAAATTGTCAGGACCAGACTGTGCACATTCTACCCTCCTTATGTACAACGGCTAGTAGAGTCCTACATGTAATTACTTACCCTCATTTGCCGACTTCAAAACCATATCGATCATCAACAATATTAAAGGTGATAATTACTAATAACATTTATGTCTAATCGAAAGCTGAACCATCGAGTGTTTTTGGCAAAAATAGACTCCTTGATGCTACAAAACAAGGGTACATATCACGAGATATAATCTAAAGCGAGATTCGTCCACAATGTCGTTTTTGGTACCAATATTCGAGTTCTTTTGCACTTGATTTTGCTTGCAAGTCAAAAATTGTGGCATTAAATCACAAGGTTGATAGTGATATATGTCCCCTTTCATGAACACTAAGTAGACCCTTTGATTTAGCCTTTTCAAGACATAAAAAAGCCAACACAAATCTTGTTTTTATTTTCAAATTTAAATACACAAATTAATATATTAATATGAAAAATATAATATACATACTTTATTCATCTATAAAACAAGACAGTCATTTTCTACTTTTGTATATTCAAAAAAAAGTACGTTGTTAAAAATATTAACACTATTATTTACTTACCGGATAAGATTTAGTCTACCAAAACAACATCCTATGCAACAATTTATATGGTAAGTGCTTACCGTGGTAAGAGTCGTCGCCCTCACTTACCGGGTAAGACTTTTGGTCCTTGTCTCGTTCTTACCGGATATAAGATTCTTGGTCCTTACCATATTCATCCGGTGAGGTAACGTTACTTGATAAGCGCTTACCCGGATAAGTGTTTGGTAACAGCCCCTAAGTTAACCTTTGAGGTTTAACTTTTTCTCCGATATCAAGTTATCTTTTTTAAAAGATAGAAACTAAATTCATATAAAACCCTAATACACACTTCATTTTGAGAGAAAAAGTATGTATATATATATATATATATATATATATATATATATAAAGTATATAATTTTTATATACGGTAAATATAACAAATAGACTCACGCACCCTCATCACCTTTGGTGAAGTTTGAACTCTTGACCTCCTAGGAGACCAAAGACTCACATACCACTAGGCCAAAGACCCTTTGATAAGAATGTATATTCTTGAATAGTTTTTATCCCTTGTATATGTCAATTATTTTGCAGCCCTAATTTATTGTCTCCAAAAACTCCTGTATTAGAGATAATACCTTCAACATATTATCCAAATAAAATACTTATAAAGTATAAAGATTCAAATGCAAGATTACAAGCAGTTGTCTACAAATTGAAATAACAAAATTCTGAACCTCTATTCCTAATTAATTCTCTTGGGTAGGATAATTAAGACATCATTCCAAGAACAAAGTGTAATTAGCACAACCACCCACAAAAAAGCAGTCCTTTTTAACATTTAAATAAGTGGAAGTATGACCAACTATGAAACAGATGGTGGTTTTCTGCAGACCACCAGAAAATTGTAGGTTAAAAAGTGAAATCTTGATCCTCCTGTTTAATTAATTGATGCATCTCTTAATGATTTGTAGAATAAGTCATGGATGTCTGTATGAAATTTGAGCCAAGTATGTTTAGAGTATTTTAATGAAATTCTGATCAGTCCCACCAGCTAGAACAAAGGAACAATATGAGTGCATATCTACATGTCTTACTGAAAAGTATGGTGAGAAATGGCGTATATTATATTGTATATAGAGCTATAGATAGATATACACACGTATGCATGTGTATATACAGGATGTAGATGCATATATGTATGCATACATGTACATATGACAGCACATAGTCCACATAAACCATCTCAAACATTCCTTTCTATGCTTTTTTCAAGAACAGTGGAAAGTAAAAGGAGGCCATCACTCTCTCTCTCTCTCTTTCTCTCTCTCTCTCTCTGTGCTTCTTTCAGCCATGGACAGGCCTCAGTGGCCACAGGTATATAACTGGATCTTTCACCCTCTTTAATTCATCACCACCACTAAAAAGAAAAAAAAACAAGGTTGAATTATTTCATTTCATTGAACTCATGATCATATGAATTTATATATATATATATATATATGTTTTAAAAGATTATGATTTTGATGATATACAGTTAGGTTAGTGTACATGTGAATCTCCACTGATTTTCAAGTGTCTTTTCTTCTTTTTCTCTCACTTGTCATCTTTTCAATATGTATCTTCCACTTTACTTTTGATAATTCATGAATATATATATATATATATATATATATGTATATATATGTACATAACTTTGATGTGTTCCTTTTTTTTCTTGAAGATTGGTTTTTATGGATTATGAAAAGCATAAAGCAGTTGCCTTGTTTTGTTCATTTGTCTGCAAATCTTAAAGTTTTCATGTATATATCTTAATTTATGTCTAATTTATCTTTTCTTTTCCCAAATAATTTCTTGCTCTTTTCCTTTTTGGTTCTTTTTTTGTGCTTAAATAGGAGATAGTGGTGAAGCCAATGGAAGAAATAGTGGTACCCAACACCACAAACTCAAGTAACAGTAATCCCTCAAAACCATCATCAAGCTCTTCATCTTTTGAAAGAAGGGTAATCAGACCACAAAAAGCAGCAGCTCATGTTAACTGTCCAAGATGTGATTCCACAAACACCAAGTTCTGTTACTACAACAATTACAGTCTTTCACAGCCAAGATACTTCTGCAAGACTTGTAGAAGGTATTGGACTGAAGGTGGAACACTCAGAAACATCCCAGTTGGTGGTGGATCAAGAAAGAACAAAAGATCATCATCATCATCTTCAACTGGTTTATCTCATCCTTCAGTTTCAATTTCGAAGAAGCTTCCTGATCTGTTTGTACCTCCTGCATCGACATCAGTACTCTCTCAAAACCCTAGAATCCATCATGGTCATTATGGGCAAGATCTAAACTTGGGTTTTCCATCCACTAACAATTTCAAGAATGTTTCTGAGTTTCTGCAAGTACCCAACTTTGATCATGGCACTAGGAATATGACCAGTTCTTCAGCTTCAACTACCAGCAGCACAACTACAACTGCTTCAGCTCAGCTTTCAGCTATGGAACTCCTGACTGGAATCACGACAAGGGGTACTACAATCAATTCCTTCATGCCGATTCCAATCCCTGACCCCAATTCGGTTTATTCACCGTCAGGGCAGTTGATGATTCCCATGCCGGAATTCAAGATTCCATCACTTGGTTTTTCTTTAGATGGAATGGCGAGTGGTGGCCGCGGTTACGGGAATAGTCTTCACGAGAGTACTACAGCTGGTGGGACGCTTTTGTTTCCCTTTGAAGAACTGAAAACAAACACACAAACAACTCATGAAGATCCTGATCATGTTGGACAAACTAGAGATCAGAATGGTGATTCCAATGGGTTCTGGAATGGAATGTTGGGTGGAGGTTCATGGTAACGATATATATTATTCTTATATCTATATATAATAGTTTTAATTAAACCAAATTAAGGTGTGGGGGATTTTGGTCCTTTCTTTCACTTTAAAATCTTGATTTTTCTAGTATGAAAATGGTAGTGGGTGGTGATGAATTGTTTGGATTCTTGAAAAACTAACCCGATAGGATCACAGAACTGGGTTTCTTCTATTCCTTTCTCTTTGAACTTTAATATATATATATATATATATATATAATCATGAGTGATTCCTCTCTTGATCGATATCATATCTTAATCTTCGATTACATTCAGATTCAGAGCTTATTAATATGATGAGATCCAAGATATATATGAAGAACAGATCATCAAGAAAGCTAAAGCCCAGATTTTTATAGGGATACGTATTTTTATATCACAGATCAGTAGAGAAGGGAAACCTAGTGTTATGTTATATTAATATTGGTTAATTGGGCTTAATTTGGGGGTACAGAAACTAATTAATGTATTATGTACAACTTTATATATGTATTTTGTTGAGTTAATTTCTTGACGGAAATTCGTATGCTTTTCATCTCTCTCTCTCTCTCTCTCTCTCTATATATATATATATATATATGTATATRTATATATATATATATATATCTTGCATACAGGTTTTTCATGCAGGTACTATAAAATTAAGTCGGCATGTCATCTGAGATTGAGCATGCATATAAGTGGGAGCAAGATGATGATGGTGATGAATTGAAGAACAAGGGGCAGGTTGAGGTTTGTACACATACTTTAGTGTGTGTTTTGTGTGTGTTTATGTGGGGTCAATAAAAACAATAAGAGAGAGATATATATATATATATATATATATATATAGATATAGATATGACCAACTCTTGGAATCACATGTGAATGAAGAATTAAAGTCGAAACTGCTACACCTGCTCCAACTGAAAGTTTCAACTACTTTATTCCTATATAATCATCAATTCATCTTCCACCAGTACCACAATCCGGCCCTTTATGATAGTAAAACCCTTGAGCTACATTTCACCATGGTATATATGTATAATTATATATATATATATATATATATATATACACACACACACATATGTGTGTGTGTGTTTTCCGTCTGCCTTTTAAAAAATGAAAACCTAAAATATCATAATAACCACGAGAACTTAATCAAGGACGGACCCGGGTGATGCATGCGGTGGCACGAGCCATCACTTCGTTCCTCCGTTGTAGTGTAAAATATTATAGGGTCGTGAAAAGTATCACTGTCTCAATTTCTTGTGTGCGACCATATATATTTTGAAACAACAATGAAGACACTTAATTTCTTTTGGTAGAGTTGGTTTGCAATGCTTTTCTATCATCACAAACCCAAGTTACAATCTTGTTGGTATCAACTTTTTAGTTTTAAGCTTTTAGTTTCAGATTTATTATGTTTCTCGATTTTTTTTATAACAAACGACTTGAATATAGGACCCCACATATGAAAAGTAGTGAACTAACCAATAGACCAATAATGATTTTGTGAAAAAATCTTTATATTTGTTTTTTTTAATCAAATAATGTTACCACTTGAAAAAATTTATAAGCCATTCTCTGAACTTAATTATACTTTAAGGTATTGTTTTACATGCTTTTCATTTATGTTTGAACTTAATATATTAATTAACGTACATTGTTTTATACGATGTATAAATGCGAAATTGACTCAAAGTCTCAAATAGTTATTTCATCTATTCAAATTAGTCTCTTAGCCATTACTTTCCCGAGTTTACCCATATGCCACTATGTCCGCAATATTGCATACCTGACTAAGAGAACAAAAAAAAAAAATCAAATTCCACCAGATTATCAAGTGGCACCGTCGCAACTGTGAACCTGGATTGAATATGATAATTTTTTTCCTATCTTTTAGTCAGGTCCAAATATTGCGGATAGATATGAATATTGCGAACGTAATGACATTTGGATAAACGTGAAAGATGAATAATTAGGAGACCAATTTGAATGGATGGAATTATGAGTGCTCATGGGTTGGGTTGATTGAGTTGAAGACATTTGAACAACCCAATTCAATGTTTGCGGTTTGAAAAATCTTAACCCAACCCAAACTGTACGGGCTGGTCGGGTTGATACTTTGGTACATTAAAATATTTTTCTAACCTTGAATATGTTATTTCTCTACTCATAATTTATTTTTCATCATCAACCATTTGATACAACTTATCCATACTTCTTGCGTATATCACATTCAATTAATTTTCTCAATTTACATATATATGTTCACAGTTACTGAACATATATACGAATGATTTATATAAAAATGGAGAATAGCTTGAAAATATGTATATATGAAAGAGCGTACGTGATAATGTAATTGCCTAATGTATATATTAATATAAACTCAACCATCATATTAAATCCAAGAATAAAAGGATATCGTGTTCATCAGATTGGGTTGAATTATGTTCAAATAATAGTAACTCAATATCAACCAAACACCTACGTTTTGAAACTTTTACAACTCGATTAAACATCGTGTTGTTTCGGGTTGAGTTATTTCACGTTGCGTTGAGTTGGCATTGTAGAGATAATTGAAGGGTTATCTATATAATAGTTTTACTTTGAAAAATCATTTGGTCGGCAATAATTCATAACAAAACGTTTCATGGTGTCGTTTTTATGATATATCCATCTACGTTAATATTAGAATCAGGTCAAATTATGTATTAGAAATGTAAAAAAATAGATATATTATTAACAAAGAGTGATGCATTTAACAACATATAAGGGTGCATTTAGTCCATCATTTTCTTAATTAAACATTCTATCAGAACAAAAATATCTGTTCAGGAGAAAGAACCAGATACCAGATATATGTCTAAGTTTATAACTATTTAAAGATAATATTTACATGTCATATGATATAAAAGTTGGATTGATTAAATGATACATGCACTTTGCTAACACAAATTTAAATCTTGAATCAAACCATATGTTTAAATAAATTACTGATCAAGAATATATATACATAACAATCAGATGATCAAATGTTTCGTAAATTTATTGTATGGTTTGATTTGTTTTTTAGTTTTTATATATAATATTTTGCATACATACAATTTTTTTTGTATGTAAAAAAGTGATCAATTCAATGAATTTTGTAGTATTTAAATCGGCCCTTCTTTTCACAAAGGTCAGGGGCGGATGACCATAGGGGTCTTGGCCCCTGAACTTTTTTTTTTTCGACAGAGTGAAACATCTCCAGTCCATTAAGGTTTTAAGTACAAAATTCTTTTGGATCCCTACAATATTGTTGATCCAGTCCATTTGTGTTCCACCTCTGACAATAGTGTCTAATTATTAATCTTTTATAAAAAAAAAATCAAACCAAGAATTAATATTTGTAATTTAACAAATTCTTTTTGCCTTCTATATGTAAAAAATATGTGATTAGAATGGTGATTTTAAACTCACCTCTTCTACATCAATAAATAAATATTGAGAAATACCCAGTTACATTATAAAACAAGGGACCATCATCGACGAAAAAAATTCATCGTTAAAAGTCGGTCTGTTGGTGAAAGTCCCTCGTTGGAAAATCGATGGATTACCCAATGGCGACCATTTCCGACGACGGCCAAACTTACCGAAAGATGTAACTACCGACGGAAAGTTTACCGATTGATTATCGACGGAATAAAAATAATTAAATATAAATAAATAATTACGGACGGATTTTTCTTCGCTAATCAGTCGGTAATTTGTTTTAAAAAATAATAATTTAAAGATATTAAATTTCCGGTACAATAATCTGTTTAGATTTTCAAAATAAATTGCAAATTTAAAACAAGAGTGTTTTTACAATAAAATTCTAATTTATATTACAAAATATCCAAATTCATATACAACCACTTCTAACATATCCTAAATGAAATGAAGGGGGAGGTGAGGTTTTATAGCCCTGTAATTTTAAATAATTACTGATGGACATGTGGTAACTCATTTAAAAAAATAAAAGTAAAAAAATTTAAAATATGTCGGTAATTAGTAAAATCATCCGCTGATTACCGGCGAATTTTTAAATTTTAGGAAAAATTTCACTTCGTAGGACATCCGTCGATGTTCCTCGGTAGTTTTCGTCGATGGTGATCTGTTTTTTAGTAGTGTTAACTGTTCATTTGGACGGTATGCATATGTGCATACAAGTAATTTATATGCGATTTGTCCGGTATACACATGTGCATAAAAACCAAAAAACAACTTCAATTACTTGTATGCACATGTACATACCGTCTATATAAATAGTTACCAGAATGTTTTATCAGTTTTTATTTTTTATTTTTTACGGGTTTTCTCCTGAACCTCCATATATATGGAACGGTTTAAACGAGAGCATCTTCATTATACGAAAACGCTAGAACACATTTTACTATACTCAATCATATGTGATAATATATTTCATCATCTATGGTAAACAATCAGAGATACAGACACATTTGGCATCACTGTGAGCTAAGTCACCCCCCACGTGTATTACTACAAGATGTTCTCAATATAATAACATAATCTATCATATGTGATACTAAATCAGGAGACACAGACGGCGTTTGGCACGACCTAGGTTGTGGGTCAAGTCGTCTGCACAATGTCAGATCCCATTCACCTATATTATCACATGTGATAAGAAGTGTCCTTGTATTTTCGCATCGTTTGAACCTTCACCTATATATATATATATATATATATATATATATGTGTGTGTGTGTGTGTCAAGATAAACTCTTTTTCATATTTTTAAAAGGGTATTGTTATATACACACACCTATTTTATATCAAAATTAAGTTAAAATATGTCTTAATATATATATATATATATATATATATATATAAACAATATTAAAATAAATAGATGTATATTTAACATGGAATGGCTAAATGCATATATATATATAGAGAGAGAGAGAGGAGATTTACTTTGCAAACCTCGTTATTTGTAGAAACCATATAAACCTCATTCAACCAATCATAATTTTTCATGTTGTTCATTTTTTTTTTGAAATTATTAGAGTTTGATTAATCATTGTTATTGTGTAGGGTGTTAATCATGGATATTATCATATTCATTATTTTAATTTTAGATTACATGAAACAGTTTCATTAAAATTTCATTAAGTATTATATGAAACAATTTCATAATCATATATGAAACAATTTTATCAAAAAAAATATTATATAAACAATTTCATGAAAAAATTTCATAAGATTAAACAATGAAATCGACGAATAAAGGTGGTTTGTACGGTTTGTACAAATTGGATGGTTTGTATTTGATCGCTCCCTTTTCTCTCTCTCTCTCTCTATATATATATATATTATATTAACAACAATACTTATATTTTACATATCTAATACATGATTTAAACCAATTGTAACATTAAAAAAATACATATTTAACATACCCTTTTAAAATTAAAATACCAAATTGACTGAAAATAGGTTAATAAATAGAAAGTGTAGATTAATGTGGAAATTATGTACATGTGAGGGTCAGAAAACAT